TATCCTTGCCGTGTTCTTAGTCTTAAGGGGAAAGCATTTAATATTTTACTATTACGTATAGTGTTAGCTGTAACTTTTTGTAGATGCATGTTATCAACTTTATTTAGTTGAAGAAGTTTCCCTCTATTCCTTGATGCTGAGAGTTTTTATCATTAATAGATATTGAAGTTTGTCCAGTGTTTTGTTGTTGTCAATTAATATGATATTTTTCTCCTTAAGTCTATTAATGTGTGAGGTTACATTGATTTTTGATATTGTAATCTTGGAATAAATCCATCTTGGTTTGGTATATAATTTTTTATATATTGCTGGGTCCTATTAATAATGTTTTGTTGGGGTTTTATGTCTATATTTATAACATATATAGGTCTGTTGTTGTAGTTTTGTTTTGTTTGTATTGTCTTCGTTTGGTTTTGGTTTCAGGGTAATACTTGTTTCATAAAATGAGTCAAGAACTGTCCCCTCCTTTTTTACTTTTTGGAAGAGATTTGTGAACTGGTCATTATTCCTTAAGCATTTGATAGATCTCTGCAGTGAAACCATCTGGGCCTGCAGATTTCTTTCCTGGGAATTTTATTTCTTTTTAATTTTCATTTTAAAATATATTTTATTGACTATGCTATTTCAGTTGTCCCAATTCTTCCCCCTTCCCCACCTCCAGCAATCTGCCCCCCTAGTTTATGTCCAGGAGCCAAGCATGTAAGTTCCTTGGCTTTTCCATTTCCTATGCTATTCTTAATCACCCCTGTTCTATTTTTACCTACCAGTTATACTTCTTAATCCCCACACCATTTCCCCTATTCTCCACTTCAAATAACCCTCCAAATGAACTCCACATCTCTGATTCTGTTCCTGTTCTGGTTGTTTGCTTAGTTTGTTTTTTTATATTCAGTTGTTGATAGTTGTGAGTTTATTACCATTTTAATATTCATAGTTTTTAACTTCTTTGTCTTAATTAAGTCTCTTTAACATTTTATGTAATAAGCTTGGTAATGATGTACTTCCTTTAGTTTCACCTTGTCTGGAAAGCACTTTATCTGCCTTTTCATTCTAAATGATAGCTTTGCTAGGTAATCTAGGTTGTAAGTCTTCACTTTTCATCACTTTGAATACTTCTTGCCAGTCCCTTCTTGCCTGCAAAGTTTCTTTTGAGAAACCAGCTGATAGTCTTATGGGAACTCCTTTGTAGATAACTCTGCTTTTCTCTCGCAGCATTTAAGATTCTTTATCTTTATCTTTAACCTTTGGCATTTTAATTATGAAGTGTCTTGGTGTGTTTCTCTTTGCGTCCAACTTGTTTGGGACTCTCTGTGCTTCCTGGACTTATGTGTCTGCTTCCTTCACCACATTGGGGATGTTTTCCTTCATTACTTTTTCAAATAAGTTTTAAATTTCTTGCTTCACCTCTTCTCCTTCTGGCATCTCTATGATTCAGATGTTAGTACATCTGGAGATGTCCCAGAGGTTCTTTATATTATCCTCATTTTTTGTTTGTTTTTTTTTTTAATTCTTGTTTCGTCTTGCTATTCTGGTTGAATGCTTATTTCTTTCTTATACTCCTAATTGTTGATTTGAATCCCAGCTCCCTTCCCTTCACTGTTGGTTCCCTGTAGATTTTTCATTATCTCACTTAGTGTAACCTTCATTTCTTCCTTTATGCTGTTGCTGTACTCAGTGAATTCTTTGAGCATCCTGATCACTAGTGTTCTGAACTCTGCATCTAATAGGTTGGTTATGGCTGTTTCATTTAGTTCTTTTTCTGGGGTTTTGTTCTGTACTTTCTTTTGTAGCGTATTTCTTTGTTTCCTATTGAATGAGTTTTGGTAGTGTGTGCTCTTCAAAGAATTGGTGCCTTTCTTCTAAGTTGTCAATGTATGTGTATGTATAGAGTTATTTGTAGTATTTTATTACTATGCTTTTAGTATCAGCAGAGTCTGTCCTGATACCCCTATTTTATTCCTGATATTGATAATGTAATTTGTGTCTTCTCTGTTTATTAGTCTATCTAGAGGTTTGTCAATTTTATTGATCTCTTCAAAGAAAGAGATTTTTGTTTCATTGATTTTCCTCTATTCTATTATCATTTTCAGTTTCATTGATTTATGGTTTTATCTTTATTACTTCTTTTTACTACTTGCTTTAGGCTTATTTTGCTCTTTTTCTAGTTTATTAAGGTGGGATCTTAGGCTACTGATTTCCACACTGACTTTTAAGTTTTTCTCTGGAGAAATATATATATATCTTTTGCTGGTAATGTGAATGGGATATTTTTCTATTAATTTTGCTAATTGGTTGTTTTTGATCTCTGAGAAAACTGTTGAGTGTTTTGATTTATTTAATGGAACACTTTAGTGATATCCTATTGCTTTTATAGTTTTACTATCCATTCTCTTGGGTTTTTCAGGTAGGTAATTATATGTCAGTGGTCCTATGTTAATTTTCTAGTAGAATTATACTTTTAGAAATATAGACTTTGTACAAACAAATAAAATTAGGCCATATAAGAAAAATGGGAAAATGTACTTTCTAAAAAATGACCTCATTTTATTCATGTATCAGCTGGTTGATGAAGCAAAGATTGTAGAAAGCTAGGATGAATAGAAGGAGGGATGTCTGTTTTATCTGAGTTTTCAGTTTAATGCCCCAAAGTTACAAGGGTTGCATAGGGAAGGAAAAGTTCTTAAACATAAAGATAATCACTGATGAACTGTCTATTTATAAAATTAGTCCTCATTCAAACATCTTTCCCTGCTTAATACTATTTTTCTTCTACTTTACTGTCTGCACTTTTGTTTGTTAATGATTATTCAACAACACAAAATAAAATGCAAACCGAAAGTCTTATAAAAGAGGCAAGATTTCAAGAAGTCCATGAAAGTTATTTTGGATAACCACTTAAGTCAAATGCAAAGCTATTAACAAAATGGGCAGAGAGTTATACCTACCAAGAACTGAAGAAAAAACTGAGTACAGTAACATGACAGAGTGCTTCAAAATAAAATGATTTGAATATTAAGGAATTAAGGCAGGAACTTGAGAAATGTGATGAAGTTCTCCAATATTTTTGCAAAAATTATCTTTATGATCATGCTAGAATAGTTAAGTAAAGTTGCATCCTTTACCATTTTGTTGGAAAAATATACTTGAGCTTTGGCTTGTATGGCTTAGTGGATTGAGCGCTGGCCTGAGAACCAAAGGGTTGCCAGTTTGATTCCCAGTCAGGGCATATGCCTGGGTTGCAGGCCAGGTCCCCAGTGCGGGGCATGCAAGAGGCAACCACACATTGATGTTTCTCTCCCTCTCCTCTCCCTCCTTTCCCCTGTCTCTAAAAATAAATAAATAGAATCTTTAAATATATATATATATATATATATATATATATATATATATTTGATTCTTTCTTTGTTCTATGAACATATTAAAATTTTAACCTAAATTTTGTCAACTATAAGCTTATATAAATGCATTTTTGTAATATGTTTGTTTTATTTTAAAGACTTCATCATTTGCCTCCACTATTTACCATGAAGTTTTGGTTCTCATTTTAAATATGTTGCTTTAAGTGGCTATTTTTTGGTACCAGTTTTTTTTCTCATACTGAGAATTTCTTGTATTTATTCAAAGGAAAGCTTTTAAACCTGTTATGAAACTCTTGAGGAAGGATTCTTTTTGAATTGTCAACTTTGCTTACCTCAACTGAAATTTGAATCAGGGGACCTTCACTGTTTATATTCATAAATCTATGCCTGTGTTTTATCAGTATCTGTCTGCTTATTTTTCTCTTCATTGCCTAGAACAGTTTCTGGCATTAGAAGGGACTCAATAAATATTTGTTGAATTAATGAAAAGTAAACAGAGAAAAATCCCATTCTTGTGTTCAGAGACTTTATAATCTAATGGCAGAACTGGGACCAATACAGGCAAATGACCAGGAATGCCCATGGGTGGAGAGGAAAGGGTCATCTAAGTAGTAAGCTTAGTAGTAAGTTTGCCTCTGAAGGAGTTTTAGTTTGATTCAGGAGGAATGGAGAGTCATAAATTTTAGAGAAGATAATTATGACATATGGGAAGTTTTGACTACTTTTGGAGGACTTAATCATGTGGGGTTAAGATTATTCATCTCATCATGATGTAGTTCTACATCTTTGACTATGGATATGAGTAGCAAGGAGCAGACCTGACTGAAGGCTTGAGAGTCTTTCAAAATTTTTTTATAGAAATACCTTCCAGATACAGAATTCTGAGGCTCTTGGTAATCATGGGCTTACTGTGTTGGCTAAAGAAAAAAAAAAGATTAAAATTTTTTTCTTAGAAAAATCTCCTTAAGTATGAAACTTTACTTATTAAATCAGAAAGTAGAATATAATACCATCTGTTTTTTATCATACACAATGGACACATAAAATTTTATAGTCTTGCATAATTATGCACATACAAATTCCATTAACTAATAATGTCTTTCATATGTCTCTATTCCTACAATTCACACTTTTAAATAAGAGTATTAATTTCAGGCACATTAAATTATTACAGAAAAAATAATTTGTTATTTTGTAAAGAACATTTTGAATAAATAGTATTGGAAACTAAAGACAATATTATTCTCTTCATCGTTGCTTCCCAGAATGGATAAACTCAAAATATTGATATCATCTGTTCATTGCTAACTAAATGTACCTTAAAATTTTTTGTAAGGGCAGTGAGCTTGAATATAATTTTTCATTATTGATTCGGTCTACTTAGGAAGTTACTTAGATTTTTCATGTGCTGTAATGGTCTTGAGAGTATGTATTTCACATTTAAAAAATACTTTTCTGGCAATAGTGTAATAGTCGAATCTAATAGTTATGATGCAAGGTTTGTTTACAGTCAGTCTCTTAATTTATACCTAGACCAATATCTCATGTTATATATTACCAGTAGAGAAAGTAGTTCATATTTGCAGGATACTAACTTGCAAATTTATGCATATTTGATGGTTTTAAAAATTAATTCCCTAGGAAGCATAACTTTTGAAACAATGGCGGAAATTCTCCGAGATAAACCGAGTGGCATTAACATGGAGGGAGATTTCCTGACCACTGCAAGCATGGTTTCCGTCTTACCTCAGGATTCCAGCCTTCCTTGCATTCACTTCTTCACCGGGACTCCTGATCCGGAGAGGTAAAGTCACAAAGTACTATAAACCAGCAAGGGGTCAGGAGGCAGGGTTGAGTCTTCAGTCTGTTGGTTGTGTCAGGTTAAATTTTGGTTACACAAATACAAAAATAATTTTTGGATGCATTTTCTGTTCAGGTTTTAGCCTGCCATTTCTATACATGCATAATTGCCATAACTATTCTTATTTTTGCTGGAAGAAATGTTAATAGTTTCTTGTATGCAGCCATCCCTACATCCTCTTTTCCTAAGTGTATTGAACATTGTCAAGAGAAGAAAATAGACAGATTTTCTTATGCAGATTTCAGCATTGTATTAGATGATTAATCAGAGTTAATAAAAAGAGTGAATGATGTAATGTGCTAGATTTAGATGGTTGCTTATGCATTCATATCTAGAAAATACATGTATGTAAAACTTAAAAATATCAATAGGTCAAGTTTAGTAGGATTTGTATAGACCATCTTGATTTAAGTCATTAGTATCTCTCACAAAACTTAATGCACATTACACTCAGAAATGACCTCATACTATCTTTCGGTATTATAGTCTGTCATATTATTAAAGATATTTTCAAGAAAATAGAATGAACCCTGTGAACTCCTTATTAATACTGCTGCTGATTTTCATCCAAAATCTTAATCCTCAATCCATCACATTGAGAACTGTTTTTACCCTCCAATTATGATGTTTGTAGCAGAAAATGATGAACTATAATTTCACTTGACACTGTTTATATGCCAGGCCTTTTGTTAGGTTCATGGAAATACAAAGCTAAATAAGCATGGTTTCCTGCCCCAAAGGAGATTCCAGTGTGTCAGGGAAGACAGGCATGTCTATAACTAGTATGCCAGAAACATGTTCGTATGTAACAAATTAATAGAAACTTCTAACTAGAGGGAGCCTTACAAGATTTAGAATAATGTTGAATATTTTTATATCCCCACATGACAGTTTAATAAAAGACTTTTTTTTCTAGATCTGTTTTTAAGCCTTTCATATTTGTGCCAAATATTTCACAACTATTGGACACCAGTTCACCAACAATCGAATTTGAAAATCCAGTTAAAAAGAAGCCACATTTTAAGAGTAAGCCTGACAGAAGACACCCACTTTACCAGGAGCATCAACAGGCATTGAAAGTAATAGATAATAAAGAGGTATGATTAGATTACATCCTGCATTTTATCATTAGAATAGTTTAAAATGTGAATCAATTCATATTTTGAATTTTAGCTTTCTTTCCCTCCATATACAAATAGGTTTAAAAATAGTTTAGATGCTTAGACTATAGTAGAGCTCTATTATTTCCTCTCTTTGGTTAAAAAATGGTTAAGAATATGTTGTGAATCTTCTAGAGGGCTGTAGTATATTAAACATAATATCAATAGCTACTTGTTACTAAGCATTTATTATACACCAAGCACCTTGGTACTATTATATGTAATATTCATTTAACCTTCACAACCTCTTTATGAGGTAGGTACTACTATCATCTCCATTTTACTGATAAGGAATCTGAGACTTGGAGAGTTTAGTAGCTTAGTTAATATATATCTCACACCAAAAATTACAAAGCTGCTGGAGGGCAGTTGACCTGGTCTCTTACCTAATGTTCTTAAGCATGCAGCTTCAGTGTAATTTAATTGTAAGTGCTTTAAGACTTCATCTTCTTAAAATAATCCTAATGACTTGGAATTTTAAGAAACTATAAATGCTTATCACTTAAAAATGTAAGCAATATAGAAGATTAATATATCACCCAGAATCTTATCTCCAGAAATAAGGAGATGTGTTTTGGAGGGGGCAGATAGATAGATGGATAGACAAATAATTTTATACTATCCAGACCTCTTCTGCCCTCTTCCCTCTCTTCCCCAGAGAAAAAAATAGAAAGAAATGGAAGGACTGCTGCCTAAAGACTTTTAACAGAACCATCACCTGATTCCTTGCAATAAAGGAAAAGATTGGCCATTGCACACATTTTCTCAGCTGTTTCTACCAACTTCTCATTTTTACTGCCTATAATTTTTTACTTCATCAATTTCTCATTTTTATTGCCTGTAATTTTTTTTTTACTTCATGTGCATTTACATTCTATCTACATTAAGTGAATTACATGCTTTTTCCTCTGGGCAATTGTACATTTACTTTTGTCTTCAGTATGTTTGCAAAGTTGACATGCCTCCCCCACCTCATTCTTGCTTATGCTTAAAGTGGAGAGCTCTCTCCAGACCTCCTATTTGCTATGAATTCTTGCTTTATCTGGGCCCAGTTTTCACTCCCCATCTACAGTGTAAACACTTTCTGGAGCCTGGTGGCATGGAGTGAGCGGCAGGTGTTTTGTTCCAAGAGTCCACTATGTGCTGACCAGGGCCCAGTCTATTGGCCAGACAGGTGTCATCCACTCCCTGGGCTCGGTTGTCCTCCAGACTCAGCACAGCGGAACGGACGAGCTCTCTGGTTTTTCTTGTCTTTGCTCCAGTTCCTCAGTGTTATGTTTCTAGAGCATCTGCTCTGGAGGGGTTTTCCCTCACTCCTCCTCGCTGAGTGGCCACCCCACTGTGCACTCTGCTAATGAGAGCTCTCTAGAGTTGTCAGCTTCCTTTCACCCTCAGTGTTGCTTCTGGAGGTGAGTTTTGTAGACTTACGAAATGTTTGTTAAATGAAATTGCTGATTGGCTTTTTTCTAAGTAATGCTGAGATAAAAATTTAAAAGCTGTTACTCTTTTAGGCTTTCTTTGATGAGCATGAAACATAGAATTTGACGGTAGAAGTGACAAAAAGCTGGGTTTTAGTCCTAATTTGGCAGATAACTACTTTTGTGTTTAGGGACAGTCAGTCCTACTTGCAGTTTTAATTTACATTTCCCAATTACTAAGGAGGTTGAAAATTTTCTCATTTGTTTATTGGCCATTGTTATTTCCTCCTAAGACTTGCCCGTTCTTTTCCTTAGCCTATTTTTTAATTGATTATTAGTTGTTTTTGTCTTTTGCCTCAAAGAGGCAAACTGTGTGAGTAGTCTTCATTATATTTCAAATTTTTAATATCACTTTGTCATTTGACTTTTTTGTCAGAAATTTTTAATTTAGTTAATTACACTTGTTAGCATCTTGTTGTCCTTTAAAGCCTTTGATATCATGCTTCAGAAGGCCTGCCTGACCTCAAGATCCCCATAACTTTTGTATTTTCTGCCAGTATGTGTTTGAAAAATAATTTTGTCCTTTAATTCATCTGGAATTTATTTTGGTGTATGCTGTGAAGTAGGGATTCTAACTTTGTTTTCCAAAGAGGTGAACAATTATTCCAATACCATTTATAGGCAAAATGTTTTTTTTCTCCACTGACATGAAACACAATTTCTTCAGGAAAAAAAATGCCTACAATTTCACGTCAAGTCCATGTTAAGGTTAAGTATCTTTGTTTTGTGGAGGTCTGCCCCATAATGGTTCAAAGTTTAAAAATTATGCTCACTTTCTAAGTAACTTTCTTATCTTTTAGTTGCTCCTTCCCTTGAACATTACTGTTCTATTTTCTTTGTTTAATTTGATAATATGGTTTGTAAATATAGATGATCCATATTCATAAAAATATCTCAGCCTCAATTTTCAGAATTCCCATACATAATTAATATCAAATTTTCAAGTGCCCTGTTTTTCTCTTTTAGTTTTCTTGCTTATAGACTAATCCATTATAATTATTCTTGTCTTTCTACTAAAAATAACTAATAATTTGGGGTTAATACATGAAATCAATCCAGAGCAATGATTTTTTCCAAAATAATTTTATTCTTTCTGTATCTAAAGAATAGGAGAAGGGGAACCAAATCAGAAGTCAAAAACAGAATGAAGAAACCTTATCTGTAGAGGTTGTTTGGAATTTGGTTGGACTTGTATGTTTGTGTATGTTTATTTATTTTTATTTTTAATTTTTCAGGAAAAAGCCAAAATAATGTTGGACAACATGAAGAAACTGGAAGAACAACTATTCAAAGAGATGGAATCAATCCTTGAAAGCAAACATCTTGATGTGGATAAAATTGTTAATCTTTTTCCTCAGAGTGTAAAAGATGAAATTCAGATATATAAGTCAAATATGAGTTCTTAATGATCATATAAATTGTCAGCAATCTTCCTCAAAGTCAGAATCAATCACCTTGGTAAATGATATAAGCCTAGTGTGAGCAAATATGATATTCTTTAATAGCATTCAAGTGATAGCTTGATTATGAAAACTGCATGTACTTACTGAAATAGTGAGACAGAAAATAACATTGGAATTAGACACATATCATGGGATGGCCAGTTATTACATCAAGTACTGGCCTGTGTTATTTTGTTTGTAGCTATAATAACTTTCTACAAATCACACATATTCAATTCTGCATAAAGTATGAAACATTAAAATAATGCATGGATTTGTTTATGCACTATCTCAATTATGAGAAAGATTTTTCCTTAGTAATGAAATATATTGTCTCACATATTGAGTTTTTTTTATGTGTGTGTGCTTTCGGCAAATATTAACCAGTTCTAACAAAGTATTCCAGTTTACACATTAAATCTTACTATAGTGTGTGAATTCTGCAAATGTACTTTTATTAAACTCAAACATAGTTTTGTCAAGACTTGGGTGACCATAAGCCTTTAGCTCTAATTATCTAGCTTTTTTTTTTTTTTTGGCCATACTCTTTAGTAGGCTTTTATGTTAATATTTTTAGAAGAGCTTGTCTGGGAGATTAGGAAATAGGACAAGGAACCAAGACCATAGGAGATACCCTTTCTGTCTCAAATTTCTCTCATCTTTTACTTCTGTTCACTCAGTGAAAACAGAAACAGAAAGGACATAGTAACAATAAAATAGAATTATTAGTGTATTATGAATATTAAGAACATTTTAATATATAATGTATTATGAACATTATAAATGAGTAATAATATCTACCCAAAGCTTGCAAAACTTGGTTAAATTACATAGAGATTACCAGGTAAGACTCAAAGTTGCAAATATAAACAAAAGAAAAATCCAACATAAAATAACACTATATACAATATTTAATGGTTTCTAGAAATGTTCATTTTACATATTTGATTACATCATCATGTTTATTAATTGTTATCATTACAACTAGGATTATTACTAAGGTCATTATATTTAAAGAGTGCCTAGGAAACTATTTTTAAAACTTCTCTCATAAAATTATAATCTGACTGATCTTGCTGTTCTTTAGTACAGGGCTGCTCTTAAAGAAAAGATATCTGTCTCAAGTCCTCAGTTAATTCTGTTTACCTCACATGCGATTCAGTGACAGATTTTCCCTAAATCGGTCAGCCCCCATGTACCTCCTCCCTCTCTCCTTTTTAGTGTGTGAGGAACTAAGGGTCAGCAGTGTCCTGATTTATCCAGGGACACATATTCGTATTTTATTTTTCTCTCTAAGGCCAGCCTGTTTTTACTTTTTATTTTGACACCACCTGAGACCCAACTAGCACCATCTCTCACTTGGACAGCTACAGTTAACTGGTTTTCTTCTACACCTGTGTTTGGTCTTTATCTCCGTCTGTGTGAATTGGTGTAGCCAGAGTGATGATCTATTAAAAACGTGAATTTGATCATGCATTTTCATCCTAAAACTTAAAAATAAGACCTTATTTTTTAGAGCAGTTTTAGGTTTAGAGCAAAACTAAGCAGAAAGTACAGAGTTCTTGTACCCCCTGTACCATTTCCGCCCCCCAGCCCCCACTATCAACATCCCATGCCAGAGTGGTACATTTGTTCCAACCGATGAACCTACAGTGACACACCATCGTCCCTCCAAATCCATAGTTTACATTAAGGTTCCCTCGTACTTCTTATGGGTTTGGACAAATGAGTAATGGTATACATCCATAATTATAGTAGCATACAGAACAGTTTCATTGCTCTAAATATCCTTAGTGCTCTACCTGTTTATCCTTCCCTCTCCCTGACCCCTAGCAATCACTGTTCTTTTTACTGTCTCCAGTTTTGCCTTTTCCAGAATGTCATATAATTGGAATCGTACAGTATATATATAGCCTTTTCAGATCGATTGGCCTTTTCATTTAGTAATATTCACTTAAATTCCTCCATGTCTTTTTATGGCGTGATAGTGTCTTTCGAGTGCTGAATAGTATTCCATTGTCTGCATAGCTTGCCTGCTGATATCCACTACTGAAAGACATCTTGGTTGCATCCCTCTTTTGGCACTTATGAATAAAGCTGCTATAAACATCTGCCTGCATGTTTTTGTGTAGACATAAGTTTTCAACCCATTTGGGTAAATATACCCAGGAACATGAGTGCGAAGTGGTGTAGTAAAAGCATCTGTAGTTTTGTAAGAAACTGCCAAAGTCTCTTCTAAAGTGATGACTACCATTTTGCATTCCATCAGTAATGAATGAGACCTCCTGTTGCTCCACATCCTCACCAGCCTTTGGAGCTGTCAGTGTTTTGGAGTTTGGCCATTCTCACAGGTGCATCAAACAATCTCATTGTTTTAATTTGCATTTACCTGATGACATGATGAGAACATCTTTTGATATGCTTATTTGCCATCTGTATAATTATTAAGATCTTTTTTCACTTTTAAAATCAGGTCGTTCATTTTCTTATTGTTGAGTCTGAAACTCTTTTTTATAGGGTCATTGAGATAAGTCCAAATTCTTAATGACTATCAACAAGATCCCAATGATCTGCCCCCATCTTATTACACATTCACCATTTTAAAAATTATTTTTCGATTACAGTTCACATACAGTATTATATTAGTTTCAGGTGTACACCCCAGTAATTAGACATTATATAACTTATTAAGAGGTCATTCCAATAAATCTCATACTCATCTGACACCATACATATTTATTAGAATATTATTGACTATACAGTGGAATCTCAGTTCTTGAATTTAATTTGTTCCAGAAAACTGAGAAGCAATTTGTTCAAAAATCAAATCTCCTTTGTTTGTTGCCTGAGAGACTTGTGACTGATCATAAATGTATCAGCATGAAAGGTGGTTGCGTAGAGAATTGAGACTCAAAGTTTTATTAGACGATCGAGACATTTTTGCCACGAACAACTTGGTTGAGAACCAAATTGCTCAAGAAGCAAGATGTTCAAGAACTGAGGTTTGACTGTATTCTGTATGCTGTACCTTACATCCCCATAAATATTTTGTAACAACCAATTCGTATTTCTCAGTCCCTTCACCATTTTCACTCATCCCCCAACCCCTTTCCATCTGGCAACCATTAAAATGTTCTCTGTGTCTATCAGTCTGTCTCTGTTCTGTTTGTTCATTTTGTTTTTTAGATTCAATTATTGATAGCTCCATATTTTTTGCCATTTTATTGTTCATATTCTTTATATTTTTTCCTTTTCTTAAAGAAGACCCTTTAACATTTCATGTAATACTGGTTCGGTGGTGATGAACTCCTTTAATATTCCTTGTCTGTCTATCCTTTGATTCTAGCTTTAGCTTTGCTGGGTAGAGTAATCTTGGTTGTAGGTCTCTGCTTTTCATAATTTTGAATATTTCTTGCTAGTCCCTTGTGGCCTGCAAAGTTTGTTGATAAATGAGCTGACAATCTTATGGGAGCCCCCTTGTAGGTAACTAACTGCCTTTCTCTCGCTGCTTTTAAGGTTCTTTGTCTTTAACCTTTGGCATTTTAATTATGGTGTAGTGTGATGTCTTGGTGTGGGCCTCTTTTTGTTTATCTTGTTTGTGACTCCTTGTGCTTCCTCGACTTGTATGTCTATTTCTTTCACCAGGTTAGGAAAGTTTGCTGTCATAATTTTTTCAAATAGGTTTTCAATTTCTTTTTATTATTTTTTTTAGAATATGCCTCCCCCTCTCTATTTTCTACCTACCATCTATGCTACTTATTCTCTGTACCTTCTCCCTACCTCTCCTCCCACTCCCCTGTTGCTAGCCCTCCATGTGATCTCCATTTCTGTGCTTCCACTTCTGATCTAGCTGTCTGCTTAGTTTGCTTTCGTTTTTGGTGTGGTTGTTAATAACTGTGAGTTTGCTGTCCTTTCACTGTTCATATTTTTTATCTTCTTAGATAAGTCCCTTTAACATTTTATATAATAAGGGCTTGGTGATGATGAATTCCATGAACTTGACCTTATCTGAGAAGCACTTTATCTGCCCTTCCATTCTAAATGAAAGCTTTGTTGGATGGAGCAATCTTGGATGTAGGTCCTTCTATTTCATGAGTTGGAATACTTTTTTCCAGCCCCTTCTTGCCTGTAAGGTGTCTTTTGAGAAATCAGCTGACAGTCTGATGGGAACTCCTTTGTAGGTAACTGCCTCCTTATCTCTTGCTGCTTCTAAGAATCTCTCCTTCATTTTTTAAAAACATTTTATTTATTTATCTTTAGAGGGGAAGGGAAGGAGAGAGGGAGAGAAGTATCAATGTATGGTTGCCTCTGGTGCATCCCCTGCTGGGAACTGGCCTGCAGCCGAGGCATGTGCCCTGACTGGGAATCGACTCTCCTTCATTTTAATCTTGGGTAATGTAATTATGATGTACCTTGGTGTGTTCCTTTTTGGGTCCAACTTCTTTGGGACTTTCCGAGTTTTCTGAACTTCCTGGAAGTCTATTTCCTTTGCCAGATCGGAGAATTTCTCCTTTATTATTTGTTCAAATAACATTTCCACTTTTTGCTCTTCCTCTTCTCCTTCTGGTACCCCTATAATTCAGATGTTAGAATGTTTAAAGATGTCCTGGAGGTTTCTAAGCCTCCCCTCATTTTTTTGAATTCTAGTTTCTTCATTATTTTCTGTTTGGTTGTTTCTTTCTTCCTTCTGGTCCACTTCATTGACTTGAGTCCCAGTTTCCTTTCCATCACTATTGGTTCCCTGTACATTTTCCTTTATTTCACTTAGTGTAGCCTTCATTTGTTCATCTACTTTTCAACCAAATTCAACCAATTCTGTGAGCATCCTGATCACCAGTGCTTTGAACTGTGCATCTGATAGGTTGGCTATCTCTTTGTCACTTAGTTGTATTTTCTCTGGAGCTTTGATCTGTTCTTTCATTTGTGCCATTTTTTTTGTCTTGTTGTGCCTGTTATGTAGTAAGGGGTGGAGCCTTAGGTGTTCACTTGGGTGGGGTAACCTAAGTCTCTGGGTTGTGATGCTGTATGTGGGGCAGGGATTCGAGAGGGAATAATGGTGCTTGCTCTGCTTTCTGCCAGATTTCAGTCACTTCCCCCACTTCCCCCAAGCAAACTGGGCCCTTCTGGTGCTGATTCCCATGCCCACATGGGCTTGTGCATGTTCTAGTACCCTGTGGGTCTCTCCAACGAACTCTCCTGTGAGGCTGGGAGTCTCTCCAGGCACCTCAATCCCCACAGGTGTTTTCAGTTGGTGTTTTGAGATGTTATTTCCCCATGACAGGGCCCTGGGTTTATCTTACTCCCCAGTTTTGCCTGATTTATCTGTGTGTGAATGTGGGACCACCAGGTCCACCAGCCGCCTTGCTCACTGTGCCCCTCCACAATCCACCACCTCAGTAGGTCCGCCCACCGCCGCCGGGTGTGCCCAGGGTCCTCCAGCCACCACTTTTTGCTTTTTTTTGCCACAACCCCTCTCCTCCCGGCCTCCCAACTCTGCCCCTCCTACCTGTCTAGATGAATGTGTCCACTTTAACTCCTTGGTTGTCAGACTTCCACAGAGTTAAATTTTCTTTCAGTACTGGTTATTTTTTTGCTTCTAAATTTTTGTTGTCCTTATTTTGGTTGTACGAGGAGGCATAGTGTGTCTACCTACGCCTCCCATCTTGGCCGGAAGTCCTATGCTCTGTTTCCAATTTCTTGCTCTACCTTTTCTGCTTCCAGAACTTCCATGATAAAAATGTTGTGCTACACTTGGAGTTGTCTAGGGGTGCCTTTCTCTATCCTCAATTTTTTTAATTCTTTTTCCTTTTTGCTGTTCTCATTGGGTGTTTTTTACTTCCTCATATTCCAAATCGCTGAATTCTCAACTTTACTGTGCTATCGACTCCCTGTAAATTATTCATTTCAGTTAGTGTGTCCTTCATTTCTGACTGGTTCTGAATGGTTTCTATGTCCTTTTTTATGCTTCCTATCTTTTAGTGAAGTTCTCACTAAGTTCACTGAGCATCCTTGTAACCGGTGTTTGGAACTCTGCATCTAGCAGATTGCTTGTCTCCTTTTTGTTTAGTTCTTTTTCTGGAGTTCTGTTCTTTCATTTGGGCCATGTTTCTTTGTCTCCTTATTTTGGCAGCCTCCCTGTGATTGTTTCTATGTATTAGGTTGAGCTACTATGTCTCTTGGGGTTGGTAGAGTGGCCTTATATAGTAGGGGTTTTTCAGGGTCCAGTGGCACAGCCTCTGGCCCTCAGTCACCTGAATTGGGCACTCCAGGTGTGGCCCCCATATAGGCTGTGTGCACCCTCCTGTTGTGTTTGAGCCTTGGTTGCTGTTGGGACCTCAGTGGGAGGAATTTATCTCCAGCTCGATTGGCTGCAAGGACTGACTGCAACCAGTGACCACTGTGAAGGATCAGTTATGTAGCAGCTTACCCCACAGAGCAGGACTTACTTTGGCAGGGCTCTGGTGCCTGCAGAGCTGCACCCCCTGGCCTGACACTTGAGTGTGTTGCTTGTGGAGGTGGGTGGGTGGTGCTTATATACGATTTGAAGCTATTCACTGGGTGTGCTGGCTCTAGGACTTCCCAGGGGATGCTAAGGTCAGCCACTGCCTCTGTTGAGCCCAGGGCCACCAGGATGAGCTACAAAGTGATCTGGAGATACCTGCTACTTGTGTTGGGCTTAGAGGTGCCTATGGGAGGTCAACCTGTGAATCAAGGCCAGCTACTGCTAGTGCTGGGTTTGGGGCAGCTGAGGGGAAGGTATTGGGCATACCCATGCCAGATGCTGCCTATATGAGAGATTTTAGGAACGTCTGAAGTATAAGCCAAGACAGCCCATTCATTATGTAAAAGCCACTGGAAACAATTTGGACCCGCAAGTTGGGTGGGGTGGGGTCTCAGGGAATCACCAGCATGGGGCAAACAATGTGAGGTTGACGGGAGACTCAAATATGGTGCCCACCTGCCACCTCTTGTGTTGGGTGAGGGGTCTCAGAAAAGGAACTTATGCCCAGTACTTTTGTCTGGCATAAAGCTGTCCCCCCAACCAGCTCTCACCCTGATGTCAGACAGTTCCTCCCTGTGTGTCCCTGGTACCTTTTGAGCTGCTGCCCCAGTCCTGGAACTTGGAGTGAGTCTAAGTCTGTGCATGAGCCCTTTAAGAACCACATGGAACTCCAGAAGCCCTCCATCTGAATCAGCCACAATCCATGCTGATTTTTAGAGCCCAAAGTTATGGGGACTTCTCTTCCTAACACTGGAAACCTGGGCTGGGCAACCTGGTGTCGTACTGAGACCCTTTGCTCTTCGGGGGGATCTCTACATCAGAGATATCCCTCCTGATTTTTATCCCCCACACATGGGTGTGGGGCTAGCCTGTTCAGCATCCCTACCCCTCCCATCAGTCTTGACTTTAACTCCCTAGTTGTAGGACTTCCTTTCAGGTAGATTTTAGGCAGTTATGAGTGATGGTCATTCTGTAATTTAGTTGTAGTTTTGATGTGGTTGTGGGAGAATTCAAGTACCACATTTACCTGTGCTGCCATCCTGCCTGGAAGCCACCTTTGTGTTGTTTTGTTTTGATTTAAATATCTACTATGCTAGTTGGTCCGAAGGTTGTGGGTTATTGTTAAGCTGATTACATATCTACTATGCCGCTTTTTCAACGCCTTGAATGTGCCCTGTTTCTTCATGTCTGTCCTCTCTGCTTATACCACTCATTTCTTTTGCTCATTTTTGTATAAGTAGATCTTTCATCCTTTAGAATTTTCCTGAAATACTGCTCCCTCAGGGAAGTTTTCCCCACACCATGAGGTCAAGTTTCTGGTTACATACACTCAGCCACGTGTGGTCCTGATCATAAGTGTAATTAATTATATGTTTACAATCTGTCTTTCACAGGAGAATAGAAGCCATGTTTTCTCCCTTTGTTGTGTGCTCAGTGTTCAACCTTGTGTCTGCATGAGCTCGGTAAACATTTTGTTCCATGGACATTCAAGTGCTGATGGAGAGAATATTCACGGTTCTCTGCGAAGTTAAGAAAGGTAGACAGTCGATCTGTACAACTTGGTAACCTTTGATAAATCTCAGGTCAACCTGTTGCCTTTTTCTATATTTAAAAAGGGAATAAGAACTCCACAGATAAAGATAAGGGTTATTATAAGGATATGTAAATTAATTTATTAAACAGTTTAGGAAACTTTTACTGTATAAATTCAATATGATATTTGGGCTTTAGTCCTCATGTGAGCAATTAATGATGTGTGGTACATTTCAGAAAATTTATGATTTTCTTAAATTTCATGTATTTCTTAAAAGTAAAATATGTAGTGGCTGAAATTAAGCTTTTTGGAGGTCAACCCTTAAATGACGTTACCACTTATCATTATGTAATGAACTAAAGAAATAATCTAATAAACTATTTTAGAGAAAGCTAGTTTGATCTTTGATAAAAACATTAATATGTTAACCTTCAACCAAAAATTTTACCCTAGAAATAATTATGCAGCTCAGAATTTAGGAAATTTAGTGCCTACTTATAAAATCTGCCAAAAACAGGTTCTACAGAATGAATGTTTTCTCTTTTTAATTAATTACTTCAGGCTTTTACCATACCACTTGTAGAAATTCACCACTCTATCTTTTCCTAAAGGACAGTGGTAACGTTTCTGACCCTGAACTGTGTTTCCAACTGTCTTTCATCACTTGACTGCCTATGTGCAGTGGTCTAAAGTAATATATTTTACATGATATGAGATATGAAAGGATAAACCCTAAGAGCTATATTCTGCATAGTAAACATATTAAATATTAGTTTTTACATCTTTCTAGCTTTTAGAAACTTACTGATCATTAGTTACTATTTGTAAAATTCCAAGCACACTTCACCTTATTCTAAAAATATTGAAGTTTAAGCACAAGCTAGGCATGGAATTACTCACTGAGAACAAAGAACAATTGATCAAGCTGAAGATTAGCACAAAAGTAGTAGATTTTTTTCAAAATTGTATCAGATAATTTTCCCAGCTCTGACCCTACATATTAGAAATTATGAAATATGCGGAAAGGACTCTACTGTTACATTGAGTCATTAACAAAAAGTGTTTACTGAGTGCATAATTGATTAAGACCCTGTGCACAGATCCCACAAGCTCACGAAGAAGAGAACAGTCTCAGGAGACCCATTTAAGGAAACACTGAAAACTTACAGAAAAGAACTCTCTGTGACGGCTCCGGCACTATTCAGGCTACTCAAAAGATTCTGGCAATGTGATTTAAAATAGGTATTTTATTGAGAAACTTGCTTTGTCAGTGAGAGAGTAGAAGTTACAAATATTTTCATTTAATAAAATTAGCATATCCTTAATCCTAAAAACCTCTCTTAAAAGCCTTCATTTTCAGAAACTGCAGATCATTCCAACCCAGGGTTTTCTTTTAATATCTCCCATGGAAAAAGATGCTGCCGATTCCCTTCGTGCAAATAATAGAACATATATAATATGACTTGTTCACAAACACAATAAATCCTCCACTTGAGTCTGAGTTGCCTGCATGCATGTGAGTTAATATCCCCATTGCTGTAGCGATGACGGTCTCTTGGCCCAGCAATGCAGTTTTATGCTATTGCCTGGGCACTCTGAGAGTTACACTGTGGTCATATTTAAGAAAAAAAGAGTTCAGCAGCAAGACAGTTCTGCTGAAAAACATCGCAATTCTCTAATCATAACTTAAAATCAGTACAGGTTAATACTACATACACACTAAAGAATAATTTACAGGCATACCTTGGGGTTTTTTTTGAGGTTTGTTTTATTGCACTTCACAGATACCGTGGTTTTTGCAAATTGAAGGTAAGACCCTCCACTAGTAAAAAGGTTATGACTCGCTAAAGGCTCAGATGGCTAGCATTTTATTGCAATGAAGTATGTTTTAATGACAGTACATGCATTGTTTTTCAGACATAATGCTATTGTACATCTACTAGACTACAGTGTAGGGTAACCATAACTTTTATAATGCACTGGGAAACCAAAAATTTATGTGACTCACTTTGTTGTGATAGTTGCTTTATTATGGTGGTCTGGAACCTAGCCCGCAAATCTCCAAGGTGTGCCTGTACTTGTTAAGGTCATTAGGCTTCCATGCAGGTTTTAAGAAAATTACATATTAAATGATTTAACCCTTACATTATTTTCTAAATGACTTTTAAATGAGACACTAAAAGTATGAGATAAATATTTAAAACATGTTTTAAATAAGTTAAAGCAAAACTGATACTATGTAGAGACTCAAAGATCTTGGGGCTCTCTCTCTAATTTACTGAAGAACAGAAAGCTTATCTGAGGGCGACATTTAGTAAGTTTTAAGTTAATTGATTTTTATATGTGGACACAAGAAAAACTAAATTCTAAATGTAAAAGTAGAATGTTAGGCTTAGGACCTTAAAATCTTGGCTTGAAATATATAATTTTTTCTTTTTTTTTAACTGCGAGGAATAAGGTAGTGAGGTTATCCTTCTGCACCATGATGCTTCTGTGCAAACATCAGAAATGATACGTCACAAGGTAATAATTTTGTTGATAAAATTTAAACAAATCTGCTCAAATTACGATTTTTAGCACAAATGTTAAAGATTATACTTCTGTTGATGGATTTTGTAGGTGATAAAGTTTATGGAAATTCTTATTCCTCTCCTAATGGCACAGGTTAATACTCTGGATAGAAAAGCCAGAAAAGATGAACCTTAAAAAAATTATGTTTCCAGTTATTAATGATTACTGTTTGTCAAGGAAATAGGAAAATGTAATACCAAGGCTTCTTATTAGAATCAGCAAAATTCTTTTTTAGGAGGTGCTATCAATAGGTGCAAAGTTATGATAGTTTAAGGTCCATTTTCTTCCAAAAATAAAGCTGCCAAATTTGGCAATTTAAAGAAGTAGTAAATTGGATGTTGATTTTGAATTACAGCAAACAGCTGCAGGAGGCAATGTTTTAAAATCTTGGCATAATTGGTTTTAAATAATTATTTAACAATTAGTAATTACTATATTCATTCAGAACTTAAAATTTTGATTTGTTTTTCTTTTTTCTAAGTCAGTTTCCTGTGGGTTTTACATACACACAAAACACAGAATGTTAGCATGGGTGGGAGTGCATCTCATCACATTTTAGAGGAGATACCTGAGGGTCAAAGAGGTCGTGATTTGCCCTAGGTTACCTACTAAAGTAATAGATCTGGGGCTAGAATATGACCTCATGTGGGGTCCTCTCCTTCATAATTTACATTGTAGGGGACAGGGATGGAGGCTCGATTTCTTTAATTTTCCTGCTGGGGAGTGGTTGCATTAATAGCAGGAGAACTCTGCTCAGGACTCTTTTGAAGAAATCTGTAAAACAAGTACTCATCCCGAAATTCGTAGTCATTGGTGATGTGTTGGATGACTCCCCCTTGCACCAGTCTATCTCCATATATCACAGCTTCGCCACGGTCAGAGGCAAGGCCAACTTCAATGAGCCAGTTCACCAGGTCAGAGCCGCAGAAGGTCCCGGCAGAAGTCTTTGCACCACACCTGTATGTCAAAGGAAGGATTTACCCATTTGGTCTGTAAATCTGGTATCAGCACTGCATGATAGACGACAAGCACGGGGAAAATAGAAGGAGACAGGGTAAAATAGCAAGATAGCTAAATGTGTGCAGGGACGAAACTTCTGAATAGAAAGGGTTTACCTCACCAGACCCTAGAAAGACCCACTGGAGAAGAAGAAAAACACGCCAGTAATGCTTGTGAACACAGGAATGCTTAAGCCAAAGCAAAAAAGAAAAAAAAACCTCAGATGATGTAAATTCACCTACAAAGAAATATTCTTTTTATAGTAAATGTCCTTTTATGATCAGATGCATTCTGTAGACAGCTGAATATTGTATATTTTGAAAGTTATATTCAAAGTTAAAATAAGTAATTTATCTCAGGAATGCTAAATAATATTTTTACAAGCTCTCAAGAAGGACAATTTTTTAAAATTAATTTATTTATTTATCTTTAATGGGGAAGGGAAGGAGAGAGGGAGAGAAATATCAATGTATGGCTGCCTCTCGTGCATCCCCTGCTGGGAACTGGCCTGCAACCCAGGCATGTGCCCTGACTGGGAATTGAACCGCGATCCTCTGGTTCGCAGGACTGTGCTCAATCCACTGAGCTATACCAGCCAGGTCAAGAAGGATAATTTTAAGTAAGTTCCTCAAGTCAAACTTTATATTTTCTGCTATCACAGTGCCCATGAACAGCCTTTCTTCTTGTCATCAGCAGCCAACACATTTTACTTAGGATACATTAGCAATTTGCTACATTAGAAGTGAGGGAAGAATGAGTGAGACCTCTTTTGTTACAAATCTAAGATTTTGAAAATGTACTTTATGATTCCACTTCTTGATTATTAAAATTTTCTTCCTAATGCAAATGTGGGGTGCCTTAGGTGTAAACAAATAAACAAGGGAAAGAGAAATGTAAACAAAAACCAAATGAATTCTGTACATTTTCATACAAGTACACAATGACTACACAATTCCGTTCAGAAGCATCAAGCAAGCTGTAAAACTCAAAGTGCCTGACACTAGGAAACAGTGGGTAGAAATCAAGATAAAATGAGAAATAACTGACAAAAATTTTAAGACATTTAACCACAAATGAAGATACATTTGCATATAAAAATTAGAACAGAGGTTAACATACATGAAAATTTTCCTGAAGTACATAAAATTACAGTATTTTAACATCAGTATTTTACTCAAGGAGTAAAATATCTTAATTTATGCTTTGCCACAAAAAACATCCCTTTCAACAGCAGCCTTAATATTCCAACCTAAGTTGGAGCCTTCTTCCTGCTTGCTGATTTTTCATTTATAGCCCAACGTCATCTATCCGACACCAAGGGAATAAGATTTGCTTCCCCAAGACCGACCAGGCAGCTCCAACCACAACTCGCAGGCTGCAGAGCAGAACCACTACAGCCAGGGCCCAGGCAGCCCGCCAGCCCTGCAAATGGCAAGAGCCATGCTTGCCGAGAGTCGGCAATCACAGTGGGCCTGGCAGAGTTAACCTGGTGTTCCCTTTTTTAATTTTAAAAAGCAGGATTTTGAAATAATCATGTTGGTCCCTTTAAAGGTGGGAAACTAACTTGTCTTCACAGTTTTCCATTTCCAGAAACTGAACTGGAGTAACCCCGAGACCCAGATATTTTAAAACAGAGGAAAACGAAGGTTTGGGAAGCTGAACTCGCCCAGTGTCACACAGCTGGTGAGTGGCAGACCCAGGAGTCGAGTCTAGTGTCAGTCCCCACACAGCGAGTCCCCGCGCCACCAGCAGGCTCCCTTTGAGCAAATCTAAGATTTTGAAAATGTACTTTATGATTCCACTTCTTGATTAACCGAAAATATTGGTAACAGTCGTTTTCGGTTTCCTGCTGCATACTTTATTATCTTGAGTATTAGAAGAAAAAATGTGATGCCACAGACTGAAGATTAGGACTTAAGGTGACAAATAACAGAATTAATTTCTTTCAGTTTTAAATATAAGTGCATTAAAAGTAAGCACCACAAGTAGATAGTAACTCCATCACACTAGCCCCATTTCAAGAGCTCAACAGCTACAAGTGGTCACACTACTGGAAAGTACAGATCAAGGTCAAGAGTAGTTTTTATTGTCCTCTACGTGCTAACTGTGGTGCAAATGGTAAAAAACTGTTTTATGTGCTGGGGAAGACACAGAATTATGAAATTAGATCAGAATAAAAAAATGTTTAGTCGACTTTTCTACTTTCCTCTGAAATTTTCTGTGAACCTAAAACTTTTTTAAAAAGTCAAGCTTTCTGGTTTTTAAAAATTTTTACTTTTCAATTACAGTGTATGTTCAGTATTCCTGTGTTAGTTTCGGGTACAGAGCATCGTGGTTAGACAGTCATGTCCTTCACAAAGTGAGCCCCTGCTACTTCAACACCCACTTGGCACCATGCATAGCTACAACATCGCCGAGTGCCCTCGTATTCCCTATGCAATCCTGTGACTATTTTGTAACTACCAATTTGTATTTCATAATCCCTTCACCTTTTTCACCCAGTCCACCAATACCCCTTTCTGCTGGCAACCATCATTCTGCAACTATGAGTCTGTTTCTGTTTTGTTTATTAAACAAACAAAAGTTTGTTTAGAGTCCACATATAAGTGAAATCACATGGTATTTGTCTTCTCTGTCTGACTTACTTCAACCCTCCAGGTCCATCCATGCTGTTGCAAACGGTAAGATTTCATTCTCTGTTATGGACAAGTAATATTCTACTGTTTATATGTACCACCTTTTTTATCTACTTATCTACTGATGGGCACTTGGGCTGCTTCCATATCTTGGCTATTGTAAATAACAAGCAGCAGAATTAATGAAGAGGCAGAAATTTAATTTTCTTGACTATGTCATTAGTAATATGAAACAACATACCATTAGGAGATGGGGACCACAAAATCACTTCTACACCCAATGTCTTTCAGAGTTTGAGAGACACTAGGAGTCACCATGATGTGAATGTTAATATTCAAGTACATTTTGGTTCCTTCTAAAGTTTTCACATTTTACATGAAAATCGGAAGTTACATGGCATTTAAAAATATAAAAAACAAGTGGTAATGGCTCTTTTATATGTGCTGTTTCTTAAAATACAAACTGACCCATAGCTATTTTAACTTTTACATGTATATTTAATATTAACAAATCATGTAGTTAGTCACAACCATATTACTTAACCTGTTACAAACCAAAATTATCATCTAAAATATAATTATCTATACTTACACTTACCTATAGAAGTTCTACACCTATAGAACCTACACTTACCTCCTTTCTTTGACAATATTTCGGATACAGAGGTCACGGTGATAATGGACAAATTGTTGACAGGTCATTTTTATTTCTTCAGGAACAGGAGAATCCCTGTTTTCTGCTGTTTCTTTACTGTTCCACAGAAATCTAAGTCTGAAAATCAAAATTTAAGGAGACTGTTTTTAAGGAAAGACAGCACTGAGAGAGCCCTTCCTGCTTATTACCCCATCACCATGGCTGTTCCAAATCTGTCAGTTGCCAAAGCTGTCATCGACAACACCCAGACATTATTAGTGTCGGAAGCAGAAACATACTTAGCCTGCATTTGGTTTCCTATTCAAAGCAGGCTAGAGCGGAGGGAGGCGGGGTAAGGTGGGGTATTTTATAAAATTGTTCTGGACATTTTACAGATACCCTCCACGCATGTGTGACCCACTTCAGTTTCTAGCGTAAATGAAATTCCTTCTACATTCTACTGTTTGAAATGCAAAAGTGACTTACAAAGATCAATTATTTTACTTAATCATTTTCCACCTGCAGTACCCAAGAGACACATAAAGGGATCTGGAATTCAGAATAATTCTGTTTCTGCCAACCCAGACAATAAATCAGTTGACAGGTTTGTTTTTTTTTTTGAAAGATTTTATTTATTTATTTACTTTTAGAGACAGGAAGAACGAAGAAGAAAGAGAGGGAGAGAAACAATGTGCAAGAGAACATCGATCTTGCACACCTCCCTACCACAACCCAGGCACGTGCCCTGACCAGGGATCGAACCAGCAACTTTTCAGTTCGCAGGCCAATGCTCAAACCACCAAGCCATACCAGCCAGGGCAAATGTGTCGACTGTTTTAATTTATCAACATTATGAAGCTGTTAACTAAGTTCAGTGACTCTTCTATAATGCTTTTCCTCTCCAATAAAAGGATTATGACCCTAGCAACTATATGTTGATGATGATGATGATGATGATGAAAAAGAAGAAGTAAGAACAGTTACCATTTACTGGGCATTTTTTATATCATTAGTAGGAAAAATTCCATTAGCACTTCTAGTTTCTACTGATTTTGACTTTGAAAACAAATGAACTACAAAGCTTTCTAACCCTTCCATCCTACCTATTTCTCCTTCCCTCTTATTGTAGTATTCCCACTTTATTATTTTTCATAAAGAAGTTCCCGAGCTGAATTCAAAGCTAATGCATTAGCTTCGCCAAGCTAAGGAAAACCCCAAAATTTATAAGAAAACAAGTTCCTTTTAAGTTGTCAGTTTTATAAAGAAATCTAGTTGTCAAAGGAGAACGATAATCAAATAGAGACCTTTGGGAGCACATCACCTATTTCATTTCTAAATAAATTTTCAAGTTTCATTTTCCTTTATGTAGTTAATGGCACAGATAGAAGCCAGCATCCGTCATTTCTTGTTAAAATGCAAATTACAATGTTGGACTGATAACAGTTCTTCTCATACCTTCTCTGCAATTATTTACAACAAATATGCAAATCAACACATAACCTTTTGTGTGGTGTTAAGTTTGCCCTTACTGTGGTCTCCCAGCAGTTACTTACTAAAGGTTTAAAAATGGCTTTCTCATTACTGTTACAGATACAGATTTTTTTTTCAAATAAATTTACCTTCTTTTGAAAGGTCGGATGATTAAATGTTTGTCCAATCCAAAGATGCCAAAGGAAATAAATCCCTGTGGAAGAAAAAAGTTAGACTTTGTGAATGCAAAAATAAAATTTCAAGACAGAGAAATTACGGAAGCCACCAAATTTAGTGCTTGGGGAAGCAAACCTGTATGATCAGAGCAACATTTTAAATGGAACGAACAGGCAGACCTGTATATAAAATCCAGTGCCTGGAGGCAGGTATGACACCTGGCTGCCTCTTCCCAGTCCTCCGCACCACTAATCATGGGGGGGCGGGGGGGAATAGAGACCAGTGCTGAGCAGCCACGTGGGCGTGCTAGGTTACTGAAGAAAATGAAGACCAAAAACGTTTAGGGCTGTATGTCTTTGTTTTTCCCTTTCTCAAAAGAAAAGAAAATAGTTTACGTTGTTCTTAAGTATTTATTTACTATTTTTCTGTTAAAACTTCAGAAATTACAGAATTTAAAAATGCTGTAGTATCTGAATATAATGTAGCAACTGAACAAAATTTATGTGAAATGAAACTGGCTAGTGCTTAGGGAACGGGCTTAAAAGGGGGTGATAAAGCAAACTGGCACCAGACATCACCAGCTACAGATCAGGACGAAGAGGGAGACAGGAAGTTGGGAACTGCCCTTTGTCAGGCACAGTGGGATAAGGCTCTGAGTGTGTGTGTGGGGGAGGAGGTGGGATGGCCAATGCAATGGATTTTACATGAAGGGCGTACCTTTCTCTACCTGGAACTAAAAATAACCAAAAGGAAATCATCTGACTAGACACCTCCCCAAGAGGAAAATGGGGTGTGAGTGTGTGTGTGGTGGGAGGGGGTTGTGGTATCCCTCCCTCCTTCGAAGCACTTGAGCCATAGCTGTAGAGGCAGCATTTCAAATGCAACGTCCCTGGTATTCACTTTTGTTTGTGAAGCTTTCCCAGCCCCTGTCCTGGGAAGGGTCAGCTTGAAGTGGGCTTGCAAAATGCAAAATGCTGTGCCCTGGCCAGTGTGCCTCAGCTGAAGTTGACCTTCACCCCATGAACATCCTTTGATGTTTCTCTCTCTCTGCCTCTCCCCTCCCCCTCCCTCCCTTCCCTTCTCTCTAAAATCAATGAGCATGTCCTCAGGCAAAGATAAAAAATTCAAAATGCTAAGTGAGACTATGACTTTTCAACCTAGTATTTTGTCATTCTTGAGTACAAAATTTCACCTTAAACAATATCCTCAAATGAGGTGGGCATCAAGGAGCCCTGGGGATGGACGCATCTGTCAGTAACAAGCTGACTAAGGTCACTTGTGCACCTGGACGTGGCCAATTTTGCTCCCACAATTATGGCAAAACACACTCAAAATATTTCAAAAAATTAATGTTAGGACAAAACTTGCGGGAACATCTGATAAATGTTAACTAACTCATATGACAAATTATTTTAGATTTAAAAGGCAAAGCCAGTAATTTCAAACAGTACTTTTTCAACCTGATACTCAATCAGGGGACAACTATTCTCTAACTAAAAAGTAAGGGATTCAATACAGAATCAAATTTCAAAATTTGCACATAAAAACATTTTTCCCAACATGTAAAATGCCATTTATCCTTAAATACCCATTTTAATAGTGACATAAAGATAACAGCACTATTGTATTAGTTCATAGAATTTTAGTTTCTAATTTTTAAACTAGGGACGATAATGTCTACTTGGCCGGTACTGTGATATTTAATGAGACAGTTAATGTAAAATGCCTAACAATGGTTAGTACAGTGCATTCTCTCAATGAATGATGAGGAACTACTACACCTGGCCAAAATTTACTTATACACCAATTTATAATTTTTAGGAAAGATTTAAGTTCAAGATATATCAAAACCTTTATCAAAATGTAAGTGAAAGATTTTAGTGACTAAACTAACTAAAGGCTCAGAGAAGATACATCATTTCCCAAAGTGGCTTAGTAAGACCACAAAGAAGTTTAAAAAGTGCTTGGAACATCTTGTCACGGCTTAAATTATCATTATCTTAAAGCCAAAGCAACCCCCCCCCCCACTATTTCTGACTATAACACTCAGTGTGCATTCTGATGACTTGAACCAATATAATAATTCATCTCTACTCCGAGACAGGCAGCAGCTGTCAGCTGTCATGCATACCAGCAGCTGGCAAACAAACCGAACCCTTTTGATTTAAAAGAAAACAACATCCGCACTTGCCCCAATCAACCCATCCAGGCAAACAAAAACCCCTCAGTGTTCTCAGTAAATAAATACCTGGCCAAAGTTAAACACGGCACAGAAAAACTGTAACTCAACATACAGTCTCCCAGGCTCTTGGTTAAACAGCCACCACAAACAACTGGAAAGATTCTGTAATGGAAGGAGAAAGTAGTATTTTTAAATGAAATAAGGTAATCATTTCTCTCCCTGACAGAACAATAACTTGCCTACTTAATAATTAGGAAGAAGAACACTAAAGGGGGAAAACACCAAGAATACAAAGGCTTTGTCTTTTGAACAAGAGGTTTCAACATCTCCCCTTGACAGATGTCACTCAAGCATCATCTATTCTGATCAGATTTGAAGCAAGAAGACATAAGCCATAATACAGAAGCTTACATAACATATCAGGACTGCCGACTAGCCTAAGACAGGACTGATTTTAAAATTAGTTCTACACAAATGAAAACAACCACATCACTAAGCAACAATTCTTGGCAGCATTTCTTTTGGATTTTTGTTCTGAAACAGCAGTTACAATGGTACTGGCTGATACCATTCTGTGTAAGTAACATCGCAGTGTGAAAAGGGTAAGAGGGTTTCCTCGTGGATTATATGGTCCATTTCCTACCTCGGGGCAAGTTACTCTTGAACCATCTCAAATAATTATATAAAAATAACTGACAATTTACAAAAGAGGATATAAAAGCAATAAAAAATCCTTCAGTAGTAAAAAAAACACATTAAAAATGCTGTTTTACCTACAAAATTATTAAATTAAAATATAACAGTCAATGTTGGTGAGAATACTTTACAAATCTATATCACTCCTTTGGAAAACAATTTAGCAAAATGCCTCCAAAGGCACAGAAATATTTATGTATATTGTGTGATCCAGTTTTCCCAACTTTGAGAATTGACCATAAGGAAATATACTGCATGGAGATGTTTATCAGAGCATTTTTAAAAACTAGGAACAATCCATAAGGAATTGGTTAATTATATAACACATCTCCCCTATGGTTTATTGAGGAGCCATTTAAAGTAATGGTTATGCACATCGATGTAGCAACATGAAAATGCTTGACTTAAGTGACAAAGCAGGAAATAAATCTGTATGTATGATCAGAACTATGAAAAACGTACTAAAAATAGAAGTCAGTGGTATGATGGATAGTTTTCCTCTTCATTTTATAAGTATCATGTGAAGTGGTTATGTTATTTTGATAATTTAAAAATTATTTTTTGAAGTTGACTGATCTGAAGAATATCTTCTGAGAGACCACACGGGCATTCCCCTGAGGTCAGTCAAGGAATCCACTGGGAAAGTGGCCCCGCACACATCACAGAAGTACCTCATCTTACCAAATTCCAGGGTCAGAGTACAGACTGAGAAAGTGATTCTAAGCAAAATAAGCTATTGGAACATTTAGGCCATGGAGTTATATGAATTATTCATTCTTCTTTCCCCCAAAAACATTTAACTCAAGATTGGGATTCATACAGCCTAGCTGCCACCCCCCCCCCCGGGGAAGTAGTAACTAAGTTTCTCCCAGATGCCTGAATAAAACCTTTGCCAAACATTTAAAGAAATGGCCCCAAAACAAAATCAGAAGAAACATTTACAGCAAACAGGCCAATAATGAGAAGTAAACACAGCAACACATGTCGAGTCAGTTGCTGGTCTCCACTCTGTAGATAGTGCTCTTCTTCCTGGGCTAATATGCAGTTCTGGGAGTTACAGCAACTCACACAATGATCATCTGCGAAACAGTAAGTGCAACAATTTGTAATCAGAGCTTTTTATTTGAATGCACTTTAAATTCATAATGACTTCCTAAGCAAACTACCACATATGCACATTCAGCTCAGAATCAGTATATTACTTTAGAGGAACTCTGAGGAAGACTCCTTCATGTTGTTTCAGGAGAGTTCTACTTGTAGGGTCTTTTTAGTCCGAAAAAACATGAGTAGTATGCAATAGTTCCCTTCTACACTACTCAGTGATGTAGTGATGTATATACAATTTTAAGGATAAACTCATAAATCAAGTTTCACCTGTAATAAACCTATGCATTGGTCATGAATACCCTATTCTGGCTAATGGGCAACAAATTTACTACTGCCACTTGCCTTTCATTAAAGAGTTTAAAATTTGCCTTAGGAAAGATATTTAAGGCACCCAATATAAAATAGACACTTTATCACATATGGAACTAAATCAAATCACAGACATGATTCTTTTCTGGCCTGAAAGGGAGGTTAGGGGCCTTTCCCAAGCAACCTGCTTTCCTACTTCAGTTCCATTATATATGGCCCCCAAAAGAGGGGAAAACATTTTTACAAAATAGATGTCTAACATACAATCTTTTTAAAAAAGATTTTATGTATTTGGAGAGAGGGGAAGGGGCGGAGAAACAGAGGGAGAGAAATATCAATCTGTTATGAGAGTTACATTGATCAGTTGCTTCTCGTGCACCCCCAGCTGGTGAGCTGGCCCACAACCCAGGCATGTGTCCTGACCCAGAATCAAATTGGTGGTGACCTTTCAGTTCACAGGCCGGTGCTTAATCCACTGAGCCACACCAGCCAGGGCTAACATACAGTCATGTTTCAAAAAGTCAATGACTAAAACACACAGTTTTATAGCTCTTAACTTCAAGCTAACAATAAAACTTTTATTTCCTAAAGATACTTTTTAGAAAAAGACATATGTTCTCAAAGCATTACACATAGAATAGGATAATAGCTAATGGCATGGGGGAAGGTCACAATGTTGCTGGTGAAAAGAGAGTGGGCTGCCCAACTACCTCTGTAGTGGGGTCCCATTTTAGTAAAACTTACTTGTGTCTATCTTGGCATAGGAAAATTCTATAGTATACGTAATAACCTGGTCTTAAAATATATGTACAAATATTATAAAATGGATAAAAATAATTTCACTATCTCTTATTTGCCTTTTTTATACATTGTAATATTTATTTTGTCTTGGTGCTGTGCCAATGTTTAGGGATGAGCAATGAATTATATTATTGAACTCTAAAATTTGTCATTCATTCATGGTTTGATTTCCCTTAGACTTTACATTAGGCTTTATCATTTACATGATACTAAACTGTGTGAGCAGACAAAGTCCATTTATGATGGCTCCCATTCTATGTAATTTTCGCAAAATATGATCAGAGTATCTAAGAAGTCCCTTTTGTTTTCAACAATCAGATTATTAATGAAGAAAATGACAGAGAAGTAAAAGCATGAGGAGATTTCTGGAGGCAAAAAAAGCTTGTTGAAGTACATGTCAAATTTGTCAATGGGCTTTTACTCTTAGGTGTTCTGTACAGGGAAAAAAGAATACAGGAGAAAACCTCTGGAGTTCCGACATAAACGCTAGCTTTACAAAAGGGGGCACAAGCAGAAACCAAAAGACAGTTAAACTGAAGGCCCAAATAAGTTTCCGAACAGAAAGTCAGTGAAGGTTCACATCTGATAAATTTTTACTTCTTTCTATGGAAATGCAAATTCTACTACTTAAGATTTATTTCTAATCAGCAAATGATAGCCATATTTGAACACTGCCTGACAACTACCACTATTACTACAATGATTAGTGAGCATTTACTTTGAACGCCACTCACTGTGCTAAGGGATTTGCATACATTATTTCTTATACTCCTCACATGTGTTATATAAAAACATAATGCCCTTGGCAACGATACAGTTGACATACACTTCATTTAAAAAGAGGACTTTCTGCCCTGGCTGGTGTAGCTCAGTGGATTGAGCACGGGCCTGCAAACCAGACAATCGCGGTTCAATTCCCAGTCAGGGCACATGCCTGGGTTGCAAGCCAGTTCCCTGCAGGCCACTTCCCAGCAGGGGATGCATGAAAGGCAACCGTACATTGATGTTTCTCTCCCTCTCTCCTTCCCTTCCCCTCTAAAGATAAATAAATAAAATCTAAAAAAAAAAAAAGAGGACTTTCTGTGATTTACCTTTCAAACTTAATTATAAATAAGTATAATCAACTAAAAGTGCATTGTAACTTCACATAAGTGTATTTTAAATAATTGTTCTACATAATTAGAAATTCAGACCACAAATGTGATTCAGTCTCTTAGTTTGTATGCCAAAAAAGTTATTACTTTTAAAGATTTTTCTTATTATAAGGAAGTGTATATTTTAAGTATATGGATTCAAAATGTAATTAAGCCCTAATTAATTAGTCCTAGCCCTGGGGAAGGAGAGCAGGGGGTGGGGGGAAGTCTCAGCATCCAAAACAAGAAAAAAGGCCAAAAAAAAAAAAAATAATGGTACATAAGGCAAACTCCTTGGAATTATTACTTGGGCTAAATTTACTGGAAAAAGTGATGTATGTGTATGTGTGTGTAATACTCCCTATTATATCATAAGGACTTTATTATTTTTTTATAACTTATTTTTTTAATTTTAATTGTTGTTCGAGTACAGTTTTCTGCCTTTTACTCCCATCCCAGCCCACGCCCCCAGGACTTTATTTTCTTAACTGAGTATCCATGCATGATTACTCTATTAGTACTTTCCCTCATTGTATTTGAGCACACATATCTTAAAACAGTATGCTTCTATAGAAATTCTATGTAGAGCTCTTTTAAAAACTTTTTATTTGTTAGTTGATTTTAGAGAGAGGAAGAGAGAGAGAAACATTGATTTGTTGTCCCTCTTATTTATGCATTCATTAGTTACTTCTTGTGTGTGCCTGGGCTGGGGATCAAACCTGCATCCTTGGCAGGTGGGGATGCTGCTCTAACCAGCTGAGCCACCTGGTCAGGGTTATGCTGAATTCTTATAAGGCAAAAGGATGAGGAAGCGTCTGTTCCCTAGGCCTTTTCTCATAGCTCAGAGGTACTTACTTTTCTTAAATGAAGGAGTCCCAGGTCCACCAGGGTTTGTGTTTCTTACTGGCTCTGTGGACATGCAGCAGGACCCTCCATTTTCCATGGAGCAGGAGCAGCAACCTGTACAGGCAACACAACGTGTGAGGATGGAGCCCAATCATAACAGAAGTGGGCAACGTCAAGAGATGCCAAACAGAACAAACCGAAAGCCGCACAACCAACCGAACACAGAATACAAACAAATCCATTCAGACACACACAAATGTCACATGGTATCTATCAAACAGGTATTCAAACGTGCTTATACGAAAAAGTTAACATGTAGAGTGGCAGGCAGAGGGTCAGCTCCTTCACATATTGTTTCCTCACTGTTATGAGATGAGGAAAAATGTTTTTAGCCTTGCTGTTTGACTAACTAGTGCTTTGGGAAGTAAGAATCTGAACACTTTCCTAAAATGTTCTGTTGCTGATGGTAGTTCATTCAAATTCCTTTACCTGAGTTTGAAAACTCTCAAGGCTTGGCCCCTCTCTCCTATCTAACTGCTCCCACTATTCAGCAAAGACCCTTCCCTTCTTTCACAACAATTCTCCTTAAAAAAAAGTTTTTAAAAATTTATTAGAGAGAGGGGAAGGGAGGGAGAAAGAGATGGAGAGAAACATCCATGTCTGAGAGATAGACACATCGACTGGTTGCCTCTCTCATGTCTGCAACACACGCCACATGCATGTGCCCTGACCGAATCAAACCCACAACCTTTCAGTTCACAGGCTGGTTGGTGCTCAACTCACGGAGCAACAGCAGCCAGGGCTCACAACGATTCTCTACTGTCCTCCACAAACCTCATACTTATTTGGTCTCCAGGCCTCGTTTGACAGGGACTTGCCACTTTTGTTAATTCACCTAAACACTCTCCTCCTCTAAGTTTAGCTCAAAACTCTCTGCTTTCAAGAACGTGTTTCCTACTAGTTCAGAAAATGTAGTAAAAACAATTATATTCTTTTCAAAAATATACTGCTGAAAAATCTCTTGCTGGTTTATACATAGATTGGTGTACAGAAGTCCCACTGAGCCATCTGCTGCAGAGCTGCAAGTCTCCCTCTGTTTAGTCACAGAAGTACATGCAGTGTCCTTTAAGACATTTCACGCACATACAGACATGGCATTTCTTGACATGGAAATAGAACAGTAACTTCAGTAACCTACAATATTAAATATGCCGGAAAAAACAGTTCCTGTGCCGAACCTTTCATTGTAAATGTGCTTTAATTCTTCAGTAGTGTTCTTAAAAACAAATGAAAAAAAGATTTTAAAAGTATAAAAACTATAATCTATAATAAGCTACTACAAAATGTCTTCATAAATTTCAGATAATGATGTTATCTCATGGTTTAAAAATAGAGCCACAGAATAATAGACAAGAAAATAGAGATCACCTGGCCCAGCCCGCTTATCTTCAGAAACTTAAAGGCTTAAAGCAGCTAAGACAAAATTATTAGCAGATGTAAAGCCAGCCCACTCCAATGATGCAGCATAGGGAAAACACACACAGATTACGGCTGCCATGAAAACTGTGGTACCGAGGCAGTTTTTCCTTCAAACATAAATTGAATATGTAAGTAGCCCACTAGTATTCTCTTTAACTAATTGAAACTTTGATTGTATATTAAAATGGGTTAATTTTTCTTTCAATCATAATTCCACACCATAACATGTGAAAACCATGGGTCTCTGATAAACGCGTACCAAGGGGCAGAGGTGAGTGAACTGTCTCAGATTATTGAGGTTTAGGGGGGCCGTCCCGGACATCTAAAGTGTTATCTGACTAGCAAGGCAGAGTAGAGCAGGATTTAGGAAAGGAAAATAACCAGACAGGTTTAAAGGCCTTTTCCATAGGAACATAGGTGAATAGGCAAGTAAACAAGAATTTCTCGGTGGCAGTTTCTAGGGTAGCTTCACAAAATCATGGCCTATCTCATCCGCCCCCATGCATCTAGCCATCCATTTAGCACATACTACTGAACACATACAGTAAAGCCTAACACTATGCTAGGTGCTGAGGCCGTGACAAGCAAATCAGTCACAGCACTTACAGTCTAGTAGGTTATACAGATAATTTGAAAAGCAGTGATAAAAGCGATATAAGAGAGGGAACTATAAACATTGCAGAGGACTTCCTTCCCCTGGAGGCGATATCTGTCTCCTGGTTCCCCATTCACATACACTAAAGGCACCAACTAATTTTCCCATGGAGACGAAGACGCAGCACGTAAAGAACATCTATGATACAGATTTTTGCTATTTTTAAAAGACATGTAAAGAGGTAGCAGTGAAAGTCTCTGGGCTTAGGACACTTAGTTTAGGGGTCCCCACAGATGTTCTCAGGCCTTCTGTAGCCTGTTCTGAAACACTTGTGGGAAAGGAAGACACGGAACCAGCTGGAAATGGTGGTCTTCAAGCCTCGACTGAGAACAGACAGCACATGGGTTTACAGGAGGAATGTAAGAGTCCACAAAAAAAAGTGAGGAAGGAGAGGATGCTGGGCATGACCAGAAAAGTACTCTAGACTTAGGAAAAGCAGCTTTTAAAATGTTAGTGAAAACATAAATGTACTTCTTGAACTACCGTTTTAAAAGGGAAAATGGCCAAGAGGGCTCAAAAGGATGAAATTCTGATATAATCACAAAGGCCCTAACAAATTAGCTGGCACCATCAATAAACTAAAGTAACAGAGACCTGACTGAAGCAGGGCTAATGTAGGTCAGGACTTGGCAGACCAGAGCCCTACGTAGAAGGACATAGCAGTCGATAAAGGAGGTATTATCAGCATTGGATATGGAAACCAAGGCAGGAGTTCAAAGCTTGCCCAAGTTCAAACAGCAGTAAACTGTGGAGTCAGGGTGTGAACCCATGCAGCCTGGCTTCCATTCCCAGTTTTTAAGCACTGGGGTATATATTTCTGGTTCGAGACAGAGAGAGACAGAGGGGGGAGGGGGGAAGGAAGGCAATGTAAAATGCCTTATAAGATTTGTGGGACTTTTTTCCTTTTAGGATAAAATGCAGACAACTATAATTGAACAACGATAATTTTTTAAAAGATAAAAACAGTTAAAATTTTTTAATCCTTTCTCCCTTTTTGCTCTCTTTCTTTTTATCTTTTACTTACTAATGGTAACAGCTAATAGTTTTGAGATCAGTCAGCTCTTGGCTCTACAAAATCTCTAAACAAAGTATGTACCATCATTTATACTTCCCAGCACAATATTTTGTCTGGGAATCCAAAATACGTATTCTATCACTGCATTCCCTCCATAAACTGAAGCAAACCCCACAACAATCGCTAACACTTATGAACAAAGTCGCTAGTGAGGGTCATATTTTCACTTATACCAAGGACTGCTCAACATTTTCTATAAAGGGCCAGATAACAAATATTTTGCAGACAACTGAGTCCCTGTGCAATGACTCATCTCCACCAATGTAGCATGAACACAGCCACAAACAATCGTACACTTGGAATGAGCTTGGCTATGTTCCAATAAAACATTATGGACACTAAAATAGAAATTTCAGATGACTTTCAAGTGGCACAAAATATTTGCCTTTAAAATTTCTTTCTTCAACCCTTAAAAGATGTACAAACTGTTCTTACTTCTTGAACCTGTACAAAAACAGGTGACTGACCAGACTTGGCCTGTAGACAGTGGGTTGCCAACTCCTAACTTACACCACTAACCCTGCTTCAGTGAGGCTTCCTTGGGCATTTCATCAATGGTCATTTCATCAAAGTTTCATCAACTTGCCTGATGCAAGTTGTGAAATTAGCAAATGGAGGCACTTAGTTTCCTAAAAAGGGCCTACTTTTGGTGTTACTTTTCTTCTAAAACTCTCAGGTCTGAGGAAGTTTAGGATTTAATAAAAGATTATCCTCACAAAAAAGTTATAAACAATAATCTAATAAATGAACTTGCAAGCTCTTTCGATTATTGACTTTCATTTAAGTTCCTCATCTGACAAATACCTGTGATATTCAAGACAGTTCAAGAAAAATTCCCTTAAACAAAACATTTAGGATGCATGCTATACAGGCACATAAGAGTTTTTTTATATTAAGGTTCATACTTGTTTCTGGCATAGAAGTTGTAAAAGGTAAGGGTTCATTTATCGGCGCTGGACTCTCCTCAAAAGCAGTGTTCCCAGACTCCACGGCTTTGTGGCTCTGAGACTGGTTGAAACATTCGTAGCGCCCCGCTTGGGTGCTGCGGTTCATACACATGAGTGATATGCTGGCCGTCATGATGCTGCAGAACAGGGTGACTGATGTGATGATCATCTGCCAACATTGCAAAAAGACACTAAGCCACTTTTCACAATTTCATCTGCCTAATCTTAGCAGGATAGGTTAAAGGTAATTTTTTGGTGGAAAATACAGTATCTTCATAGCTATAAATGCTCCAGAACACTGGTCCTTAAAAAAGAGGAGGAGTATGGAAGGGATGTAGGTTACTTGCAGAAAAATTAAGGGTTTGCTTGTAATCATGTAAGATTTCTAAACTCTTCTTTTGCTATACATCAATGCCATGGTTTTGTCTATGATAAATTTAAATAACTGTTCACAGATCTTTTCTTCAAAGTTTTTGCTTGCTTTCATACATAGTTCAACCATACTTCAACTATAGACTCTTTTATGGTAATAATACCAAAAATAAATAATTATAGGTAATATTTGCCAAATATTAACTATATGGCAATGCTAGTTTAAGTCCTTTATGTATAATCTTATTTATTCTCACAGCAACCCAGTAAAATTCAAAATAACAAAACAAAAAGAGGTAAGAAATCGAAATCATTTGAGGAAGCTTTTAATAAACACATCCATGGGCCCTATCCCCTGGAGAATTTCTGATTCAGCAGGTCCCAAAAGTCTCTTTCTCTATAGCTTTTAAGCACACTTTCTCACAGATACTTTTTGTTCTGAAATTTACATTTATTACAGGATTGAAAGTCAAGAACCTGGCTTTTATTATTACTGCTAACTCATTAAATAGCTTTAAATTCATCACTCTTTCCCACAGTAGAGGAAATAAAATTCATAAGTGGGTTTAAGAAGACTCAGTAAGTTTCAAACATATGGAAATCCTCAGCTAAAAATGAACTTATATAAAATCTTTGCCACATTTTGAGGGGTGACTGGACAAAGGGATCACCAGTGTGATATGTGGTAAATTGGAATAGATTTTCAAAGTTAAATTCAAGGTAAGCAGAACACATTAGCAAGCTAAACGGGGGCCTTCTCAGGAGCAGAAGTGCCAGTGGTCTTTCCTCACCTGTTCTCTCCCATAAAAGAAGGCTGAGTCGATGCTGTCTCCATCATGTTTTCCAGTTATCAAAAGAACACCAATGAGGAGAGCAGGGATTCTGGAATAACAAGGGTTTAGAGAGAAAAACAGGGTGAATAGTAACTACTGACAAGCAGAAAATTCTGAAATGTTCTAAACTACAGCAGCTGGAGAGTGAGAGAAAGAGACGGAACCGTTAGTCTGTTAATGGCTGTGGGCCAACTGACAAAAGACTGCTCACATTCCCGAGTATCTGCTGGAACTTGGGGTTGATTTCCAGGTGGCTATTTCCACAGATTACTTTTTAGCCAGGCACCATCAAACTCCAGGAGTCTCTGCTTTTCGTTTACACATGGGCACACTGGACTGCTGCCCACAGCCAATGCACAGGAGTGGACATCTCTTTGTGGGCTCCGTGCTTATCCTGCAGCTGGCATGCTTCGCTTTCTCCCACCCCTTCGCCTACGGCTAATATAAATTATTTCCACACCTTACATCTTTCTCCCCCCTTTCCCTCGCCTAATGCATAAAAACATTTGCGAACTCTGAGACGATGGACATGCGGTCTTTCCTACCTAGCCGTGCAGCTGGCGGTTCAGACTCCAGGCCCCAAGACTGGTCTTCTCTTTTGCTAGACATGGTGTAATAAACCCTTTCTTTCAAAAGTACTTTCAGCTGTGGAAGTCAGAAATTGTGAACACTGTACACACGGAAACATGTAAACGAACAGCAAACCACCAACTTACCCCCAGCCACATATTATGATGATTCCAACCGGAATTTGTACCCTCTCTTTCTTTTTCAGAAAAAACAAGGAAATTGCTAGAAGTCCTATGAACAAGAAATAGAGGTTGAGAGATATATAATTACTTGATGTTGATCAGACTTCATGAAACTTTATTTAATCAAGCTTCTTTCAGTAGCAGTCTACAGTTTTTGCCCTAAAATTTACTCCAAGTAAATGCTGTCCCCAATAATTTGAAGCAGGTTTTCTTAATTCAAAATCATTTGTGTTTTCTCTCCTACACTGTGTCTTTACTCAAATCTTATTGTTTTATACATGAGGATTTTTATCAAAAGCCCAAAATCATCTTATTCTTTTGACTGATGTCTCTGGAGTCTAAGTATACTTGGAAAACGAAAAAATTTAAGTGTCTACAGAACAGTTCTAAGAATGAAAACACTCCCATTCTATCAGTGCTAAGAAAGTACAGGCAAGTCTTACACAGGTTTTGTTTTTGGAAAATGGCCCAAGCCTAAACGATCTATGTTAGTACAAAAAATATATGAATTTACTACAAAAACAAATGTCTTAAAGTTCTTTAGCTTTCCTTATACTGTATATCCAATTATTTATACAAGTAATGTCTTGTTTAACAAATCCTACATAGCTATAGAATCTTAGAGCTTTAGGGGAGGAAGGGACCCCTGCTGTAAATTCACGCCTTCATTTCACCGATCGGGGAAACGGGTGGGCCAACCCCACAGCCAGCAGGGGGCAGAGCAGCACCGGGGACCCAGCCACCAGATCTGGGGCAAGTCCACTGTATCAGTGTTTCTAAAACTCAGATCCAAGGACCCTGATGGTTCCTCAGACATATTCGTCAGAATCTGGAAATTTCTGAGAAATTTTAAGTCTTTTGGGGGATATTTTCAATGACAATCACCTAATTGCCCATCTTATAACTAAAGTACAGTCTTATGATTTCAGGGCTTACATTTGCTTTTATATTCAGTTTGACCCAAAGTGAAGGCAAACACATGATACAAAATGAAGGTTCTATGGCAGTTTGAAGAGAGAAAAGCAATGAGAAAACCAGATCTTAAATCCACACATGGAAATAAAGGCAGGGCAAACTTAAAGAAAACCCACAAAACCCTAGCCACAGACATAATTTCCATTTTACATTTCAAGCTGCGATTCAGACTAGCAAACAAGATCCTTTGTCATGTCAATAAATGTTGCTAATTAGAATTACTGAGTTTATAGTTTTGCTTGAATCTCATCTGTGAATTTGCTTTGGTTTTAAAGTTATATATTAGCTGTATATAAGGAATTCATACCTAGCTTTAAAGTTGTACAGATTAAGTAACCGTGTGTTCAAAATAATATAAATCAACACCAACATCCTCAAGAATTACTTTTCTTACAGGGACCACACATTACTCAAGTTCAGAAAGATACTATAATATCCACTGCTCTTCTCTAAACACATTTGCACATGCTGTAGTTTCAGATTTTCAAAGGGCCCACGAAACAAGTAACCAATCAGAAAAGTGTGCCAACTGTGTTAGAATCCCAAGGGCACTCTTCGAAATGCAAATGTTCATTATTATTATTTTTTATTTTTTAAATTTATTTAATTATTGTTCAAGTACAGTTTTCTGTCTTTTACTCCCATCCCAGCCCAACCCCCTCAGTGCTCCCCACCTCCCTCCCATTTCCACCCCCCTTAGTTGTTGTCCATGTGTCCTTCATACTAGTTCCTGTAAATCCTTCCCCTTTTTCCCCTGAAATTCCCTCCTCTCTCCCCTCTGGTCACTTTCCCCATGTTCTCGATTTCAGTGTCTTTGTTTTTATTTTGCTTGCTTGTTTGTTTTGTTGTTTAGCTTCCTGTTAAAGGTGAGATCATATGGTATTTGTCTTTCAACACCTGGCTTGTTTCACTCAGCATAATGCTTTCCAGTTCCATCCATGTTGTTGCAAAGGGTAGGAGCTCCTTCTTTCTCTCTGCTGCATAGAATTCCATTGTGTATATGTACCGTAATTTTTTGATCCATTCATTTACTGACGGGCACCTAGGTTGCTTCCAGCTCTCGGCTATTGTAAATTGTGCTGCTATGAACATTGGGGTGCATATGTTCCTTTGAATTGGTGTTTTAGGATTCTTAGGATATAATCCCAGCAGTGGAATTGCTAGATCAAAAGGCAGGTCCATTTTTAGTTTCTTTAGAAAATTCCATACTATTTTCCACAGTGGTTGTACCAGTCTGCAATCCCACCAACAATGGATTAGGGTCCCCTCTTCTCCACAACCTCTCAAACACTTGTTGTTTGTTGCTTAGTTTATGATGGCCATTCTGACTGGTGTAAAGTGGTATCTCATTGTGGTTTTAATTTGCATCTCTCTGATAGCTAGTGATATTGAGCATCTTTTCATGTATCCTAGATCTTCTGTATGTCCTCCTTGGAGAAACGTCTGTTCAAGTCCTTTTCCCATTTTTTAATTGGGTTGCTTGTTTTCTTAGAGTGGAGTTGTGTAAGTTCTTTGTATATTTTGGAGATTAAACCCTTGTCTGAGGTATCATTGGCAAATATGTTTACCCATATAGTTGGATCTCTTCTTATTTTAATACTGTTTTCTTTAGCCGTGCAAAAGCTTTTTATTTTGATGAGATCCCATTTGTTTATTCTTTCTTTTATATCCCTTGCTCTGGGGGACATATCAGTAAAAAAGTTGCTACGTGAAGTATCTAAGATTTTCTTGCCAATGTTCTCCTCTAGGACTTTAATGGTGTCACAGCTTATATTTAAGTCTTTTATCCACCTTGAATTTATTTTGGTGTATGGTGTAAGTTGGTGCTCAAGTTTCATTTTTTTGCACATAGCTGTCCAGTTCTCCCAACACCGTTTGTTGAAGAGGCTATTATTAGTCCATTTTATGTTGCTGCCCCCTTTGTCAAATATTATTTGGCCAGAGAGATTTGGGTTTATTTCTGGGCCCTCTGTTCTGTTCCATTGGTCTATGTGTCTGTTTTTATGCCAGTACCAGGCTGTTTTGATCACAGTGGCCTTGTAATATAGTTTGGTACCAGGTATTGTGATCCCTCCTACTTTGTTCTTCTTTCTCAAAATTGCAGCTGCTATTCGGGTTTGTTTATGGTTCCATATAAATTTTTGAAGTGTTTATTCTGTATCTGTGAAGTATGTCATTGGTACTTTAATAGGTATTGCATTGAATCTGTAAATTGCTTTGGGTAGTACAGACATTTTGATAATGTTAATTCTTCCAATCCATGAACATGGTATATATTTCCATTTGTTTGTGTCTTCCTTGATTTCTTTCTTCAGTATTGTGTAGTTTTCTGCATACAGGTGTTTTACGTCCTTGGTTAGGTTTATTCCTAGATATTTTATTTTTCTTTTTGCTATATTGAATGGGGATTTTTTCTTGCTTTCTGCTTCTGCTGTTTCATTGTTGGTATACAAAAATGCCTTTGATTTCCGGATATTGACTTTGTAACCTACTGTTCTGCCAAATTCATTTATTAGGTTGGACAGTTTTTTGGGTAGAGTCTATAGGATCTTCCATGTACACTATCATGTCATCTGCAAACAGTGACAGTTTTGTTTCTAATGTTCATTATTTCTTTCTTGTGAAAAGACTGACATAGGAACAGGTCCAATCTAGCCCTGCATCTCTCACTGACAAAGTTGTGAGAGCTTCTGCCTGAAGCAGTTAAACTCTCTGGGCCTTATTTCCCTCATTTGCAAAATGATAGATTTAAACCAGACCGGTGTTTCCAAAGTATAGAGATAAAACGTGGCAGAAGGGTGAAAATTTTTTGACTAGTTATGTGTTTAACATGTGTTTCAAAAGTTTTTAACTAGAACATGAAACGTGGGATTTTACTAGCACATGAAACCTGGGATACAAGCAAAAAAAAAAGTGAGTCAATTTTCAGGAAAAAACAAGAATGCAGCTGTGCAGATATGGCAAAAATCATGAGGATGGTATGCAAATAGTGAAATTAAAAATGGCTGAATGGGATGATTTAAAATGACACCATCTACTTTCTACCTACTGTCTATGCTTATTTTCTGTACCTTCTCCCCCCTTCTCCTCCTCCCCCCACTCCCCTGTTGCTAACCCTCCATGTGATCTTCATTTCTATGGTTCTGCTCCTGATCTAGATGTCCTCTTAGTTTGCTTTTGTTTTAGGTGTGGTTCTTAATAACTGTGAGTTTGCTGTCCTTTCACTGTTCACATTTTTTAATCTTCTTTTTCTTAGATAAGTCCTTTAACATTTCATATAAGGGCTTGGTGATGATGAACTCCTTGAATTTGATCTTATCTGAGAAGCACTTTATCTGTCCTTCCATTCTAAATGAGAGCTTTGCTTAATAGAGCAATCTTGGATTTAGGTCTTTGGATTTCATGACTTGGAATACTTCTTTCCAGTCCCTTCTTGCCTGTAAGGTGTCTTTTGAGAAATCAGCTGACAGTCTGATGGGAACTCCTTTGTAGGTGACTGTCCCCTTATCTCTTGCTGCTTCTAGGATTCTCTCCTTTATTTTAATCTTGGCTAATGCAATGATGATGTGCCTTGGTGTGTTCCTTCTTGGGTCCACCTTCTTTGGGACTCTCTGAGCTTCTTGGATTTCCTGGAAGTCTATTTATTGCCTTTGCCAGATTGGGGAAGTTCTCCTTTATTATTTGTTCAAATAAGGTTTCCACTCATGGCTGTTCCTCTTCCCCTTCTGGTATCCCTATAATTCTGATGTTGGAATGTTTAAAGATGTCCTGGAGGTTCCTAAGCCTCTCCTCATTTTTTTGAATTCTTGTTTCTTCATATTTTTGTTTGGTCATTTTTTTCTTCCTTCTGGTCCACTCCCTTGATCTGAGTCCCAGTTTCCTTTCCATTACTATTGGCTTCCTGTGCATTTCCCTTCATTTCAATTAGTTTAGCCTTCATTTGTTCCTCTAATTTGTGACTAAAATCAACCAGTTCTGTGAGCATCCTGATCAGCAGTGTTTTGAACTGTGCATCTGAAAGTTTGGCTATTTCTTGGCCACTTAGAGTTATTGGCTCTGGGGCTTTAAGTTCTTCTTGAGCCATGTTTTGGTCTATTCGTACCTGTTACATATGAGGAGCAGAGCCTTAAGTGTTCACCAGGGTGGGGCCACCCAGGTCACTGGGTTGTGATGCTGTATGTGGGGGCAGGGTCAAAGAGGGGCAATGGCGGTCCCCTCCACTGCTTCCTGCCGCTGGGGCCTGTGTGGTCCATCTCACTGCTCGCTCCTTCGCTGCTCCAACTGCGCGCGAATGTGTGACCGCAGTCAGCCTGCCACCTTGTGCCCTCACTGAGTCCACCCACTGCTACCCCACACCTGGGATCCACCCATGGCTGCCTGCGCACCTGGGTCAGGGGGTCTTTCCTGCCCGACCCCACTCTGCTGCTAGCTCTGCCCCTCTTACCAGTCTGGCTGAATGGTTCATTGTTGTTGGACTTCTGTATAGTTCAATTTTCTGTGTTTGAGCTGCATTTTTTGTTACTAAAACTTTGTTGTCTTTAAACTTGGTTGTGCGAGAAGGCACAGTATTTCCACCTACATCTCCATCTTGACAGAAGTCTGACTTGGGGCTTTTGGATACATTAGTCAATTTGCTGCTTTCTTATTCTTATTATAAATTTAGCCTTAGTAAATCCACGTGTTAGAGAAATTACTTGGAAATAAAGGCTTTAAGCTGTTTTGATATCTCATGAAATCTTTCATGCTATCCAAGGTGTTAGAGTAATATTTATGTATTTTGTGGTGTTTGTTTTCTCTGTGAGATGGCCTGCCTGTACCCACACAAAATCTCAAGCATTTATATATTAATTGCATTTTATAAGAGTTTTTATAAAAAAACAAACAAAGCTCAAAACTTCTCCTCTTTGTACTGACTTTTTCATTGTGTAATTCCTCACTACATTGTTGCTTCATTTCAAAAGGCAATTGACTTAGTTTGGGCACTGCTTTTGACAGTGAAGGCAGGAAATCAAAGGTCTGTGCCTCACAGCCACAACCAGACACCTGCCTCCTGACAGTGGCTATCACCAGCCCTACTATTCTACAATTTCCTCTTACATGCCATTTTTTAGGTTCATATTTGTGGTATGAATACAAAATAGCCAGACAGAATGTTTCAAAAACATACCAGAATGCATTCAAATAAATATTACGCTTCAAAATAGCAATGTGCTAAGTCGCTTTGAATATCCTTCCTGGAGCCAGTTGAAATGCGAAATAGTTTTTCTTACTGGGTACTCTTCTATTTCCATACCTTCTTATTCCTTACTTTAGTTGTTCTCATATTACCTTTTTCCCTCTATGTAATGCTATAGTTCTATTTGTTGAGAGCCTACCACATACCAGGTATAAATACCCATATTGATTTAATTCTCAAAATAACTCTGTAAGGTACAATGACCCAGATACAGATGAGGAAACAGACTGCAAAAATTAAGTCATTTGCTTAAGGCAGAGCCACAATTTTTTTATTCATTCAGCTGGACTCTGATAGTGAGCTCTGGGACATACCTTACACACCTCATACTTCTCTGTCTATTCCCTACACTCTCTACCTGCCTCCAGTGCCTGCCCTCTTGGGGTCTCCAAAGGAGAGCTGTGCTGGCTGTGGCCTAAAGCCAAAGAGGAAAAGGGCCGCATGAGGAGAAACTGCCCAGATCCTGGCGGAAATAGAGCACATCAGCAAACAGAACTCAGCTTTGCGGACTGCCTACGTTAGCAGGTGTACATGCCGAGAGAATACCTTACTCCTGTACTAGGAGACTTCAAAAAGATCACTAGAAGCTGAGGGCTTATAGTGATGGAGAGAAGACAGACCTCAATTTCCACTCATGATCCAACTTACCTGCCCATAGGTAGGTGCTATAGAGGGAGCTGTACAATAGAACAAACACCAGAATTTGTCCAATAATATTTTTTTCTTTAACAAAATTCCATATTATCATTCCAGCACAGACAGCAGACTGAAGAAAAAAGGAGAAAAATACAAAGTCACACTAGTGTTTTATTCACAGTAAATGTAATTATTCGGTTTAAATTATTTCTGACTAATCATCAACTATAGCATCCTAGTTACACTAAAACTTCAAGTTTTATGGTAAAAAACCTTTCTTATACAGATTCTTTAACAAGGTACATATTCAATTAAAACGGATAAGAACATTCTAAATATTAACTTTATATTTAATAATGGTTTACAAAATGTGAACCTTTCCATTATAATTTGAGACATACAAAGACTTAACTAGAAAAACGAGACTGGGAGGGTTCAATTTTTAATGCCACAATTATTTCTATTAAAAATGCAAAATTATCATCAAATGCATTATGAACCTCAACTTTATACAGTTTAAGACCCATTACAATATTTAATAAATTAGGCATAAATTCATTGTAATCAAATTATAATTGATTGCATTTGGTAAAAATATATTTTTGACTGTAAATAATTTTCTTCTCTGTAGCAGCACAGACGAGAAAGCCATAGTTCTAAATACCTGAACATTTACTAACCTGAGCGATGAGTAAATTAGTTGTAAGCATATGAGGAAGCTGTTTATATTTTTTACTCAGAAGAAGAATAGCCAGAGACCAGATCTTAAAGACAAAAGGTTCAAAAGTTATTCAAGTTTCTTAATCTTTATAATCTTTATAATTTAATTACTTATTGAATTCATTGATTAGCCTCTTTAAAAAATCCACTCTACCCTGGTTCAGAAAAAAAATTCCAACATTGTATTTACTTTAATCTGTCTAGTTCCCTAAATGGTATCAAGGTAAATTACTGTATCCATGGTAAAATAAAAAGCATGGGGAGGTCCTATCATAAATCAACTGCCCCAAAATGACAGGGTCTTTGAGAATCTTGACCAGGGCCGTGTTCTGACTTCCCCTACCTTTGGTGGCTGGGATGGGACGCAGGTTCATAGTCAACTATTCAGGGAGAGAGCTTTAGTGGGAGATGCAGCTACAATGCACCAAGTTCTCCCATGTTTTTTTAAAAGAGTTTATTTATTTTTAGAGTGAGGGGAAGGGAGGGAGAAGGAGAGGGAGAGAAATATTAATGTGAGAGAGAAACATTGATCAGTTGCCTCTTGTACACACCCCAACCAGGGACAACCCGCAACCCAAGCATGTGCTCTGACCAGGAACTGAACCAGTGACCTTTTGCTTTGCATGATGATGCCCAATCAACTTAGCTACATCGGTCAGGGCTACATTCTCCCTTTTTGATTCCATTGCCTCATGTGGTATCTAAATTCCAGGCTATTTTACTTCAAACAATACACATTGTCTACCTTAAGATTTTCTTGCATTCCTTATAGTGAAAAGGATTGGGTTTCTATTCTACCTATACAGTGGCCAGCCAAGTATGCTGGTTAATTTCCTTCTTTCTGCTCCCCTCATTGCCCATCAAAACTTACATTGTCTCTCTCCCCAAAGTGCCCTCCTAATAATGGGCATAGATTGTTAAGAATATGTAACGGAAGTGAAATTTCCTAAAAATTACATTTATTACATATGTGTTATCAATATACCTATTCAACCCCACGTCCTTTCCTTTAACAGTAAAAGTTGTCTTTTTCCAACCAAAATACTGCTTGAATTCAACAGACAACTTATAAAATACTCTAGTTGTCAAATGGGTAAGTATTTAACTTAAGCAAAAAATTTTCATTAACATTAAATGGGTGAATGGATGTGACCCTGAAGATTCCTCAACTCCACGATGCTGCGACAGCCAGTATCTGTATAGTGATTCACCATGTACAGAATGCTTTCCACACATACTGTCTCATGTGATCCTTAAAGCAACCACAGGAAATAGGTAAAATCATTATCTCTACTTTGTAGCTGAGAAAAATGAAGCTTAGAGAAGTCAAGGTAACTCCACAGAGACACACAGTTAGTTTGTGATAAAGCCAAAGTCAAGTTTGGGTCTGACTAAATTTCATGCCTTGTCTGCTATACAATTCTAACTCCCAGTTTGAAAGACAAATCTCTTAAGACTGATATTATGTTTTACAGGTAGGCTTTAGTGTTCTCTACTGCCTACAAAATTAGATATTTTAATTCCTAAATTTCTGTTACCAAGCTATCTGCAAACTCATTCTGTGGTTCTCATTCGTTTTTACACTGAAAAATACTTACCAAGGAGACCAGGCTGATAATACTTATATCAAAACTAACAGTCTGGATGGCATAAGCCAAAGGCTTAGGGTCCATTGAGGGAAAGGTCAGTAACCAGGCAGAAACATACATGATTGGTGCAGACACAAATGTGCTTATTACCATCCCTGAGGTTATCTGCAAAAATAAAACCAAATTGAGGAAAGGGTCAAGTCACACTTGAACAATTACCTTAAACTTTAAATGGCCACAGCACACTAAGGCATTCTCAAATAAAAGCAAGAGCCAGTAAAAAGACATCACAGAATCCAGCATGTCATCTGATACCATAATCCCCCTTTCTGAGCGCTCTTTTTAAAAGAAAACATCATTAGGTCCCCTTGGCTCCTTTTCCAATCTATGGTCAGTTTATACTTTCACATAATTAATAGTAGACATCCCATGGCTGGTGGTTATCTTCTAGGTTCTAAGAAGTAAACCATATTAGTGATCTAATTAAACTGATGACCAGTTTCCTTTCACTATTTCATAAAATATAGGGCAATAAAAGCAAGTTAAAAAACTATAAAATTACTATGTAAACATTTTACAGACTAAAAATGGAAGTGACTTTGTTAAACAATTTAGTACCTTCATGTTATACTTCAAAAACATTTATTCTACTAATGTAGAGAACATGTACAATATGCTTAGACACTGGTAACAACTTGGTTTTAATTGATTTTAGCTATTTGCTGCAGTTGATTATGTGGTGTTTTTCATTTGGAGGCTGAATTATCAATGAGTGAAGTAGAATCTTTTTCCCTCAAAATTTCAAAAGTTACCCTTCTACAAATAACCTTTAGGCTTAAGTGTAAGTACAGAAATAAGATACTTGAAACTAAAAAAGACCAATGAAAAATGTACTGCCTGAATGAAGACCTCAGGTTAAAAACTTGTTACATGATGTCACAGGATGCCTCCTTATATACCATGAAGTAACTTATAGATATCAAGTTCTCATAAAAAAATGCTGACTCCATCTTTTGAAAATTCACTCTCTACTAACCACACAAGCAATCAAACTTAGAACATGGCATATACGTACAATCTCTACTTCCATGTTGAACTGCGTTGAAAAGATGGCCACTCCCGGTGCGACAGGAAAGACACCGTACAAAAATGCGTAATTTGATAAACTTGTATGGTTCACTACACTGTCACCCTTGTCCAAGACCTCCACCATTTCTCTGCACAGCAATGGCAACACCAGGCTGAAGAAACAAAAAATATATCATAACTTGATATCCAAGCATGCTGGTCCCCAAGTGGTACATGGCTCTCATGAACTTGCATTAGGTTAGTGTTCTTCTTCCTAGAAGGTGTATCTATTTGCATGCACACATTCTCTGTATGCCTACTTGTGGACATTTCATTGAAAGACTCAAGAATTCAACTCAGAGCCCTTTAAAGTGTAACAGTATTCTAAAAATACCTCAAATGTTAGTAATTAGGAAGAAGAAAATCAGACTTTTGTTCTACAAATAATTTTCTCCCAAAAAGCTTGTAAAAGTGGTAATAATAGCTGCTGTTTCTTGTTTCCTATATTAGTTCATTGAAATATTAAAAGAAAAAAGATTGCCAATCTGAGTAAACTTTTAAAAAGAAAATTACTGAACTCCTTTTTGAAAAACAAGTTTTTTTTTTAAAAAAAATCATGATTAGGGGTGTAAACGGTTCAGGTAATGATAATGCTGCTCAATTAGGTTTCCAAAAACAGTAGAAAATGGGTATCTTACAATTAGCTCTTCATCTTCGGAAAGACAAAAGTTTAGCAAAGAAGCGAAAACAACTGAAATAGAGCAGAAAATTGGTGAAATCTGGACATGGTGAAGAGTCAATTATTAAATCCTTCAGGATTCCACTGAAAGAGCATTATCAGTAGTAGCTGAGCTAACAGAGATTCCCCCTAAAAACAAGACCAAGGCTGATGATATTTTTACAGCCGTGCTTAGAGAGATGCTCTAGGATCAACATCTCTTCTGTGCACTTTTTAAATTAAAAAAGTAGATAAGTCCTGACTGGTGTGGCTCAGCGGGTTGGGCATTCTTCCATCAATGGAAAGGTTGTCGGTTCAATTCCTGGCCAGGGCACACGCCTGGGTTGTAGGCCAGGTCCCCGCCATGAGGGGCATGCAACAGGCAACCAATCAGTGTTTTGCTTGCACATCAATGTTTCTCTCCCTTGCTTTCTCCCTCCTTTCCCCTCTTTCTAAAATTAAATAAAATTTAAAAAATAGATGAAAATATTAAATAGGGATCAAAGACCCAGAAAAAAAGGTGCTAAAAGATGAGAATATTAAGCCCTGACCAGGTGGCTCAGTTGGCTGGAGCGTCATCCCATACACCAAAAGGTTGCGGGTTTGGTCTCCGGACAGGGCACATACCTAGGCTGCAGGTTCAATCCCCAATTGGGGTGCATCCTGGAGGCAACCAACTGATGCTTCTCTCTCACATCGATGTTTCTTTCTCTCTCTCTCCCTTCCTTTCTCTCTAAAATTAATAAATATGTCCTCAGGTGAGGATTTAAACCATTTTTTAAAATGAGAATATTTAAATTCTACTTATAAACTGATAATACTATTACTGTTAGAACCATATCTATTACTGTGACAATACTAATTAATATCTTATTTCTAAGGAGCATTATACCATCATAGATAATATTCTTATTATTATTGATAGAATATTACATTAGAATATTACAGATAGAATTTGTATTCATTTGTATTATTTTGAAAATAGAGATACTATTTTATACTGCACTGGTCTCATAAATTTAACCGTCAGTACAAGAGCTGAACTCAATAGTTAAGAATGCCCCACATACCCTGGGGTAATCTGGCAGTAAAACTGACGTCACTTGCACCATGAAGTATAACTCCATGGCTAAGGAGCTAAGTAAGCTGAAGAACTATTAACTGAGGGGCTGATACTCTTTCACAGGCTAGGATCAGAAGGTTGATCATAATCATTCATATTAACTTACTTCTATTTAGAAATTTCAACCGCCCTCAGTATTATAGAAGATTTTCCCCAAATTCATGATTATATGCATTTGAAAAACAGTTTGTATTAAAAATTATTGTTCTTTTCATGACTAAGATGCTTTGAGCTTGAGGATTTTAACAGATTAAGAAAACTCAGAAATCCTGCAAAAATCCTGCAAAACTCAAAAATCCTGCAAAAATATTATTACACTTGGACATTAGGAGATATTAAGTAAAGTTATATAAAAGCTGAAGGAAAACAATAGTCTTTATCCTGTAACAGTAAAACAGAATGGATAACCTACATGAAATAAGAAAATTATTTTCCACAATACACCACCATTACATTTTCCTTTCAATCATGGATTTAAATCACAGATTTTCCTTTAAATCATGTACTCAGTTAGGAGGAATTATCATCAAATTATTTAAAGAGAAAATACTTACAGACATTCCCATGAGCTGGCTAAATAAGACTTTCATAAAATATAATCCCCAAGTTAAATAAGTGAAACTTACAGTTTAGCTGTGATGAGAAGAATTAGAATAACAAATGCTGACTTCTTCAGTTTCTTTATTTTTCCTACCATTGTAAGACCAAGGTAAAATAGAGCTGCTCCGGAAAAAGAATCTCCAAGTCCATCAAGAAAGTTTTCCATATAGTCGGGCACCTTTCGGTCAAGAATAAAATTGAAGGCAATGCCAACGAAGACCATAAATACTATTGGGTTCTGTAATACTCGCAGAAGTCCAAGTCCCACAATTTTTACTTTGTTTTGAGAAGCATTTTGACTGTCTTTCCACTTCTGGATTTCACAGAAAATGAACCCTATAGGGTTTAACATCATAAGAGATATTGGTGCCACCAGATAAATGTACTGGAGATATTCTGGGTATGTAGTTTGATATAAAGCTTCAACTGGAAAACAAGAATTAAAATTTATTTTTAAATGATTACTATAGAAACTCATTAGTAAATTCTGTGTATAACATTTTCTGTGCACAATTATACCATGTTGTAAATTAAACCTAAATAGTGCAGAATGATCTCATTAGCCTTATTTTGTAAATAGAACTTACTAGGAAAGTTGAAAAAAATAACATGTTAAATAATAATTAGCTCATAATAATAAACTTTTACAAATTTTTAATAATACCACCTAAATTTTACTTAGTAGAGGCTTAGCTTAGTCACAATAAAATGGAAGAATTACAGAGTTCTTTTTAAAAAGTGTTTATTGATTTTGGAGAGAGAGGAAGGGAGAGAGAGAAAATCAATGCAAGAAACACTGATAGTTCTTTTTCCTCATATGTGCCCCAACCTGGGATCAAACCCATAACTTAGGTATATGCCCTGATCAGGAATTGAACCCACAACCTTTTGGTGTACAGGATGATGCTCCAACTGAGTCACACCAGCCAGGGTGACTTGTAGAATTCTTAAAAGAAACAATTCAAAGTAAAATTCTTGTAACAAAACATTTAAGCAGTAATAGGAACAGGTAGCTGGCTGCTGGTTCCCATTAGAGAGGGGTCTCACTGGAGCGGTGAGGCAGAAGCCTAGGTACAGAGGACAGATGAGCAAGCAGCAGACGACAAACTCAAAAATGAACACTGAAGTGATAAGTCCAATCTATGCAGGAGAAGCGGAGATGGGTGAGGGTTGACAGACTTCAGAGTAGTCAGATAGTAAGCTGTTGAATTTAATATTGCAGTTGAGTAGGTCCAGGATAACCTACGATGGCCATGCTAGTTGTTGGCTGAAATGTAATAGAGAAAAACATCACTGGCAATGAGGAGGTCAAGGAACTAAGAGGGCAGAGAATTTAATGGGCAATTTACATGGATGCTAAAGTCAAGCAAGATAATGGCAAAACTTGGCAGCAGAGAAGATAACAGTGAGCCAGATATTCAAGTCTTCAGTGAATGAGGAATGACTAGAATGAGGTCGGTAGACGTGAGCAGTGAGGCTGCACTTGAACCTCAAAGAGGCAATTTTTACAAAGAGCAAATAGTAATGGCCTAGCAGTGGTACAAGGTGGCCATGAGGAAGTCAATCCTGTCTACCATTGCTCACACAGTATGCAGGCGATGAGAAAAAGGGCAGCCTCCATCTAAGGGGAATGAAAGGGAATGCAGGGCTTCAAGGAAGAGCAGCGAACACGCTGAAGAATTAGGGATGGAAAGATGGATAAGAAATGTTTGGAAGGGTGGAGTCATGGAATGCATACTTAACTAACACAAATTCAACTACTCTCTCAAGGAAAACAAAAGCTTTTTTTTTCCTTTTCCATAAAGCAAGTTTCCATACTCGAATTACTTAACTTGCTGTTCTCTGAAGAACAATGCTAACAAAAAAAAAAAAAAATCGGGGTTGGTTTAGACTTAGGAGTATACACAGAGTCCGTGTGCTGTATTCTATACAGGTGACTTAAGGGATTTTTCAAGGGTTGACTGTACATGATGACTTTAGAACTTAACTGCTGTATAAGTTGTCTCCTTAGAAAGGGGTATGGTATGTTGGACCAGACTTATGGCAGTTTCTTGGTGAAAATGAGGGTTGGTGACCTGGTTGTAGACTGATCAGGGTGATTTGGAGCCTTGAAGTAAGCAACCTTGGTCTCTAGGCACATTTTTGGCAATGAGTTATGAAATTATTCAACCTAATATTTAAACGCTGATTCATAAGTGATTTGAGGTTAAGAAAGAAAAAAGAACAACTGCAGTCACTCACAAGGAGAGAGGCAATCATGTGAAAAAATGTAAAAGACTAGCTTTCTCAGTTTACATTGAGATAATGTGACACGGGTGGGAAAATATATTTGTTTACTTACTCAGGGTATGTAAGCTTCATTTAATGGCATACAAGTATCCTATTAAAGTTATGTAACTAGATTATATAACCTGTAGATGTTCACCTTGTTCTCATTAGCTGAAAACTACTTTTTATAAGAATCAATTTCCTTCTTTTTAGTTAAGCACATGCAGAGGTCTATAGCCCTGAAATGAAGCAGTGGTTAAACAAAACACACTTGATCACATAAAATTTCACAAATTCTTTCTGATTGCCACACTAGATACACTAGCTCTGTAACTCTCAGCAATTTTCTTTCATGTTTCATAAGGTTTTATCTTTTAAGTTAAAAAAAGCATTACTTTTCATAACTATTTCAAGGTAGTGAGTGACACCTTTCCTGATCAGATATTCTATGTCTAAGACATCTATATCTGCCCACCACTCAATTTTAAAAATAGAGATTGTATTTTGGAAAAGCCTTGTGTTTTCAATCTGAGCACAAGAATTTTCCCATGTGGCCCAGATAAAACACATAAAGTTTGATAAAATGCATAAACTTACAGCCCACAGAGTACCTTAATTAATGCCTTTTCTGGAATTTATGTTTTTTGCCATGTATAATGTGCAGTTTTTTGCCAAAATTTTTGAGGGAAAAGTAAGGATGCACATTACACATTGGTATAATAATTATATGTCATGGGTATAATGGGTTTAATAATCCCTTGTATAATGTGCACAAAACATGGGTGTGCATTATACACAGGAGTGCATCATACATGGCAAAACACAATACCTTCCTGGCACACTAGCATTTAATACACTTTAGATTGTTTTAAAGCTCAACACAAATTTGAGCAACAGTCTTTATTATCTATGGCTAGCCAATCACCAAGTACTTTCTCTGTTTTCAGGATCTTTTGTATTTTCTCCTCTTGATTCCTACTACTACCACTGGTCAAAAATTTCAAAACTGGGTTACTTAATGTGTTTCCAACCAATATCCTTTTGGTTTTTCTTGGCCACCTCCTTTGTCCATTTTATTCACTGCTGACAATATCTTCTAAATCTTAACTTTCAAAAAATAAGACTTCCAAAGTTCTCACTGCCCACAAGAACAGCTATAAAACCTTTCTTTTGCCATTCACAGTGCAGTCCCCACAACTGAGCCCTCACCTCCCCAGTTCATCTCTCTGGAAATATGCGTTCCTCAGTGCAAAGCCTCCGTCAGCCAGTTTAATGTAATAGTTAGACCAGACAAACACCAGGTTCATAACTAGTTCTGCACACTGATCATTATCACCCAACTTCTTGAAGTCTCTCCTCTCTTATCTAAACCTTGTCTACTGTTTAAGGCTGGTCACGGGTACTACTGCTTCCACCAAGTCTTCAATCGATATCATGGACATCCTCTTCTCCGGATGGCGCTGGGAACTTGTTTCGTACTAGTGCCATCTCAACTAATTGTAAGTTCTTTGAAGGCATCATATTATAACGGTCAAGCCCCAGCACAGCACTGAGACAATCTGAAAATAGTTGCTGAATGGGATTAACATATCATTGAGGGTTAAAGGTTTCAGACAGAATAAAAGTGTATTTTGTAACACACAGTAATTTATACCTAATTGTTGTTTGTTAACCTGTTTTCTTTTTTATCCAAATTTTCTTCTTTTTTCATATTCTGAATATTTACAAAGTAGGTTACTATTGGGGTATTTCTAAGTCAGTTGAACAGGTGTTTGAAGGCAAAAGTAGTCTAGTGGGACAGCAAACATTGGGGATAAGTAAATACTTGTAAATTACTATAAGAATATGGTTAAACATAGAAATTCCAATCCCTTTCTGCCATTCATTTACATAATTACTTAACATTGTCTTAAAAAGATTTTATTTATTTTTCGAGGGAGGGGAAGGGAGAAAGAAAGGAAGGGAGAGAAACATCAATCAGTTGCCTTTTACACATGCCCCTCCCAGAGACCTAGCCTGCAACCTAGGCATGCACCCTGACGGGGAATTGAGCCAGTGACCTTTCACACTGTGGGACAACCTTCAACTGAGCCACATAGGTCAGTCTCTATAAATGTCTTTATAAATTGGTAGTGCTATTCTCTTGTTACCAATCTGAAGATGGTTTTTCAAATCTGAAAATATATATATATGATATATGAAAGCAGTGACTCCTACTAACAAATTAGATTTATAGTCATTATAGAAACTATTAAGTTCTAATTAATTAATACTTAGAAATATGGCTCTTGAGGAGGAGGAGAGAATTCCACTTTGAGGAATTACTATATAGCTTTGAAAACTAAGACAAAATTAGCCACCCATTGTGGCTCCTATTTTGATTCTGGCAGGTTTTCAATCCCTAGCAAATAACACAGAGACCCAGACAAGATCATTCTATTACTTAATGGCATATAGTTAAATGCTTCATTTCCTTTTTGTTTACAGCTCAAGCACTACAGCATAATTATGATTAGTCAGGGTACTTATGTTATCAGCATCATTTGAGGAATAAATTATAGGATTTAACTGTGTGCTATTAGTATCTTTTAATGACCAAGGCAGGGAACCATTCTGGTTTGCTGAAATCAACATTTCACCTTGGTTTCTTCCCACACTCAAGTTTTTATAAGTACCTTTGAAAAGAATTGTTCTAAAATCAAAAACAAACAAACAAACAAAACACAAAGAGTTTCTTTTACAATCTGTAATAAGGCACTACAGTTTTCTGTCACTTCAGAGTAAATAAATGATTTTAACATAGTCTCATAACTGTTATAATTGTCATAGGACAGAGAAAAGGAACCATGACTGTTCTTTTTCTTTATTCACGATCTGCCTTTGCCTGAGTCACCTGTAAAATGGACTGATGTTGAAAAACAAATACAGTCTTAAAAAGATCAGTACTTATAAGCTATGATGTTTATCTGTGACCAAGAGAGTGGGAAGTCCTGGGAGAGGCCGTGTAACAAACTGAAAGGGTCTTCTCTCCAGAGACAAAGTCTCCTCTGTTCACACTGAACGAGGCCAGCAGGCAGATGGGCATGGACAGCAACAATAAATCACCTCACTGCAGCAGATACATGGCCCTGCAGTTCTGTATCACACCTTCCAACCCGCAGGGAAGTGGAAAAGCACTTCAGTCTGTTCTACTGGATTGTGGTAAAGGTATTTTCTATAGTCTAATGTTACAATAGCTCATATTATTTTTTATTTAAAAATTAAATATATATATTACAGCTCAAAATTTATGAGCATTGCCCCGGCCAGGAGGCTCAGTTGGTTGGAGCGCCATCCTGTGCACCAAGGATCATGGGTTTAATTCTAGGTCATGGCACATGCCTAGGTTTCAAGTTCAACCCCCACTTGGGGCACATAGGAGAAGGAATCAATTGGTATTTCTCTCTCACCCTTCCTCTCTCTCCAAAATCAATAAGCATATCCTCGTGTGAGGACTTACACTATGAGCATAATCATCAGGAAAATTGGGCTGGAACACTGCTGGAAACACAATTATTAACAGATTCACTGATTTAATGTGGGACATAAGAAAAGCAATGATGAATATGGCTGACTACCTTTCTTAGTTGGAGATTCTGCCTTGATACGAAAATTGATAAACTCATTTAATAGGTCTGTTTTCACTACTACTCATTTCATAAAATATTTTAGATTAATGTAAAGATAACAAAATGTTGATTATCTGTGAAAGTAATATATTACAAGGGCTACTTGGTCTTCTGAAGATTAAATGGGCATGTTATGTAACTGTGTAGCATAAGCAAATGCCCAGGATTTAGAACCAGAAGACCTATGGTTGGATCTCAGACACCTGTAAGCTTTGTGACCTGGGGTAAGGTCACAGTTAAACCTCTATAAGCCTGTCTCCTTATTTAAAAATGAGGATAATATTTGCCCTACCTCAAATGAGACGTAAATGAAAAAAAAACTCTAAAATGTTTAAAATGTTAGTTCTATTTAGTTATGGGCTTATTAATCTATGAGAGCATGAAACTATATATTTATAGTTGTCTAAATTAAAATACGGCAATATTCATTAAATATTTAATACTATGATGCTGAACCACTGCTTAGGTCCTTATATCATAAATACCTTGATAAATTTACATTATTAATATCTCTGAAGAGATGGATAAGTCTTTATTTGAAATGCTTGGTTCATTCTTAATTTTAAAATTCACTAACCTTAAAGAAACACCTATCTAGTTTCTGACTATTTGCAGCTTAGTTATCTAATAGCCTGGTTTCTCCTCTCTCATAAACCTCCTGCTTTACTCATGGTTACTTAAAATTTCAGGCATATCTCTGTTTCTGGTAAAAGAGACAGAGAAGGGTCAAAGGAGGAGAGAGATGGAAAAGGGTGGCCCACCAGGATCCTTTTGGTGCCAGTGGGGAAATAATCGGTTGGAGGAAAATTTGAAAGTTAATGGTAGATTTCAATAGTCATTTTATTATGTTTTTTTGGTCTCTGCTCAGGAGCTGTATCATCAGAAAGGCCTTTACTGACTCCTTACCCTAAGTTGTACCTCCTCATTCCTATCCCTCTATACTACTTTACTTATTTTTATGGCCCTTGTCATTACTTGGCATTCTTTATTTTCCCATTAAAATGTAAATTCAATAGGTACAAGAATGTTGTTCACAGGTGCATTCCCACAGCTAACACAGTCACTGGTATACAAGGGGTCCCTATGAATGAGTGAGTGAGTGAATGAATGAATGACTATATTCATAATATTCAGGTCCTCACATTATGAGACATGATCAAAGCACAATATAAACATTAACCTAAAAATAAAAATATAAAAAAGTAGTTACTAAATATATACTTTCTAAGTGGCAGAGTATCTGGAAAAAAAAAGATGTTTCAAGATCTCTCAACATCCCAAACTGGCATTTTTATTGTTTCATCAGAAACATATACACTTAGAAACATAAAATTTAGCTGCTTAAAAAATTGGAAAAGTGAAGAAGAAAAAGTTGGAAAGGTGAAAAAACCCTCCCTGTTTTTGTTTTTAAACAACAAATTAACTTCAACAAAAGTACACTGACAGTTTTAAAGAACAAGCTCAAAAGTAAGTATTAATATAAAATAATATATATTCCAGATGGCAAGAAATATAAGGCAGGAAAAAAGTCACTCATAAAATTCCACTGCTAACATTTAATAATGACAGTTTTTATAATATGCCTGTTTTTTATATATTGTAAATCAGAATGTGATCTCTTCTGGAAATTAAAGTTCTTTCATATGTGATTATTGAGAAGAAAAATATTATTAGAAAGAAAATTCACAAAGTTTATTTGGATATGACCATTTGTTTTAGGCAGAACTTTCAAGGAGCCTCAAATTCTGATATTAAGGAAAAATATAATTCATCCTAGTTTAAGACATATTTAAGAAAAAACATGAAAGAGCTCTTAGATATAAAAGTATCAATCATTAACAAATGCTTAGATAAATAAAAAGGCTTAAATTTTGGTACTTCTAAAACCCTTGAATTTTTTAAAAAACTTGAAAAATAAAAAAGTAACTTACCTATAGGATATCCCAATGCAAAGTCATTACTTTGTGTAGCAAAAATAGGGAATAGTCCAGCTTTACTAAATCGACTATCAGGGCTGGCAACTAATAAGGTTAGTATACATACAACAAAAAATACAGAGGCTTTGGCAATTAAGATGCTATACAAGAAAGACCAGTCCACATTGGAAAAATTAAGCACAACCATGTTTTTGAATAACAAAGCTGGAAGTGCAAATCTGGAGACAAAATTTCCCAGTCCTTTGGCCTGTGTTGATGTTATGACATTGGCCCTTCCTGCTACGTAGCCACAAAAGACTATGCCAAAGCATTCTAGTAAGGCTGGAAAGAGCCTTGTTACTGACATTGAAGGTGAGTCACTGGTAGAATTAAATCCAGGCATTATTGTTGAGGGTAAAGTGCTGGTCACATTGACTGCTACAGTTAAGTTCTCGGTAGGTAAATCAGAAAAAGAATTCATTTTCTTTCACTCTCCAACTCCAATCAGATCTCTGCAAAGAAAGAAGATGCAGTGTAACAATCAGTAGGGAGAATTCTAGTTGAAAGAATACACTGGTAAACCTAGACTTATTAAATGGCTAAATACACATACTTTTCTTCAACTACCATCAGACAAAAAATACAAGTTAAAAAAAAAGGTGGGAGTGTTTCCTTGCTAACAATAACCTCTTTACTCTCAAAGGTGGGTCAGTACAAAATATTTGTGCTGCTGTCCTATAATCAGTATCAGACCCGAGTAATCCAGCTGCAGTGATGCACTGGGGTCCTCTCCAGTGACCCACCCTCAAGCCCCATCTAATGATTAAGAGCCTGGAGCTCAGAGTCTCTGCCGAATGTTCATCTGATCCAGATTCCTCCGAAATCTCAGAAGTTCTCAAGGTTATGTCAAGGAGACACACTAGAGAGAAGGGGCCTTTCCAGCCTGTGGTCACACTTGACTGAAGGATCGGAAGAAGAGTATACTAGAGAATCACTTGTCAACTTTGAACCAATAACTTTTATTTTCTGTGTCTCACTTTCTTCATCTGTGTAATGGTAATAAACAGTACCCGCCTCATAGGAACTTGAGATTTTTCAAGTAGATTCCATATAATCACATCCAGCACAAAGTAATCATTTAACAAAAGTTAAATATAATTTTAGTAGTATATTGAGAGGGAATGAAACAAAAAAATGATGGCATCATTTTTCTGTCCCACCAACCTACTCTTAGTTCCTTTTACACCAGCCTCACATATTGATCTTTTTGAATGTCCCACAGTCCCTTTGCGCTACATGGAGTTTGCATATGCAGTGAACTCTAAAAATGTTGTCTTCTCTACTCACCCACCACTCCCTACTTATCCTCCAAATCATAAAGTTCAGGAGTCACGTTTATCAGGTAAGGGCATCTCTGACCCCACAGCCAGGCCAAGAGTCTTTCTCTATGTTCCTTACCTTTAGGCTACTTTTCTCATTTTATAATTACACTGTGCATCACATTGAGTATTTGTTTTATGTCTATATTCTATGCTAGACTTTAAGTGCTACACAAACTGGGTCTGTGCATGTTTCTACTTATTGTTATGTCCCTAACACCTAGCACAGTACATGGCACATAGGAGACTCCATATGTGTATATTTATTTCACCTTTTAGTGAATCAATGTTGTCTTTTAGGAACTAGTTCATGGACAGAAATCTCTCTCTCTCTCTCTCTCTCTCTCTCTCTGGCTCTCTTTGGCTCTCTCCCTCTCTTTTCAATGATAAAGTATTCTAAGTTTTTCACTATAGCAACAGGCCCAAGACCACACAATGTGTTCTAAAATGTTCTAAAGCTGTTCATAAAATGTTAAGGAACACAAAATGTGTTGTAAACTGTTCTAAAGCTGTTCAGAAAAATGCTAAAGCAAGAAAAAGTTCTTAATGCTGTTATTATAATACTTATCAGGCTCCCCTCTTGCTGCCACAGATACATGAACATGAGGTTTAGACAACTACAAGTAACTAGCACTTGCTAGTAATTTGAAATTAACATGGCAACAACTGCCAAGTTATAATTACTCTGGGTTAATTGTCTAAAGTGACTTTATATAAGGCAGAAAGTAAAAAAAACTCATTTCTGAAATGTACAATGCCCAGGTTGAGTTCTCAAACACGCACATCACATCAACAAGACTCAGATCACAGGCCAAAGCCCAGCAACAACTGATACTTAGAGGTGTGAACAAGATAATTTTCTATGTACTACCCTGGTATTAACTGAGCCATTTAAAAACTTACATTTAATCTGGAATCAGGATGAGTATTTTTCTAGTAGGATTAGATAGGAGTGGTCAGTATACACAAAACCTACAATATTCACATACCTGAAATTTAGCAAGCAAGCATCAAATTATATCCTGGGAAAGCTACCTGCTGGTATAGGTACCCATAGTTGAAGTAGAAGCTGTTAAATAATTAAACAAAAGTGTCAAACATTTGGAGCCCTTAAAGATGTGGACTTGAAAAGTCAGCACCAAAGAATAAGGTGATAAATTAGCCCAGTCTTGGTATTTTTTCAACGTTCCCTATATTTCTTTGCCGGGAGATTTAATAACTAATACTGCTCAGTACCCCTTATTTGCACCACATTTGCATTACCAGTGAATTCCAATGCTTTTAAAGCAACAGTTTAACTAAACTAGCAGTTTTTCAGTAAAGAAAGTCAAAAAGCACTGAACCCAATTTGGGCCTTATCCCTTATCAACTCTCTTTGGGCAAGTTACCTAGCCTCTCGGGACCTTAGCTTCCTCACCTATAAAACTAGAGAAAAACCTCTTTAGAGGGATATTGTGAGGACTGGAGATTTTATACTAAGCTTATCTCAGTAGTTTATCACAAAGTAGGCTCTCAAGAAATAGTAGCAACTGCTGTTAGGAATTGTAGTCCTCATAATAGTAAGAATGGTAACAAATTCAATAAAATTCATTGTTCTATGCCAGTTCTTCAAACAATACTTGGTAGTAAAGATCCACCAACTAAAATAGAGGAACGGGATGGGCCACAAAGGTTATTATTTTTCTTCTATAACAAACAATTAAGAGGAGTTCAATTTAATTTAGTTTGATCTTAAACAGTTTTAGCAGGGAAGAGAGAGCTCTTCATTTTTCTCAAAGTGATGGTCAAATAGTTGTCATGATGCCCAGGTTTAACTTTTAGTTACTTGAAAATTAAGAGAAAAATTGAAAAGTAATGTGCCCCTTTCCATGAGATTTCTTTTAATGTTCCTCAACATCATAAAAGTAATGCCTGCTAATTGAGAGAAAGTCAAAATAACCAGAAAGGACTTGTCTCATCTTAATTCCTCCCACCCCCCATGGGAGGAAAAGATGTTTTCTAAAGCATTCTTTTAAAATGAACAAAAGCCACAGCAACAGGAAGTTTTGGTGTTTTGTTTTGTTTTTTTAAGTTACATCCAGTCTTTTCATCTCATTAAAACGAAGCTTGTTATGGAGCAAACAAGCTGATCTCTGAGTCAAAAAACACTCACTGACCACTCAATGGGGCAGGGAATGGAGATATACAAACCACTTCAGGCTACTTCATTTTTGGCTTAAATAACATAGAACAACTGAAATTGTAAACAACTGATGTTATTAAGTAAAAATGGGGAAGAGGGCTGTGATTATCTTCCAAGAAAAAGCTTTAAACTCTTAGGCTGTCTATTTCTCAAACACCCAATATCCTTTATGCTGTGGGAAAAGCACAGTGTGCTATCATTCAGTGCACCCTTCAACATCAACAGTCACACCATCCACCCACTCCCACCTACTTGAAGGGGACCAAATGTCCTGCCTGGAGACCTACGGCGGGGAGCCCTGAGCTCGGCTCTTCCCTTGTCGTCAGGAATAGACTTTAGCCCTCCAAAATAAGGGTGTGGAAAGCCGCCAAACACAGAGGCCCCCCAGATAACAGTTACCACCCAGTGCCTGGAAAGGCAGCAGTGAAGTGGAAAGGCAGTTTGGGGTCTGTGGCTGGGATAAAAAGTTGGTCCTTCAGCTTCCCCAGGGCAGGAGAGTCACAAAGTCAGAGTAACTGACATGCTCTAAAAGGGGGTAAGGAAGAAAATTTGGGGCAACTCCCCAAGTACATGGGCAGAAGCTCCCAAGAGGGCAGACACTTGAGACCACCCCTTGGGATAAGGGTGAGAGTTGGAGAAGGACAGGATGAAATGAGGCGTTCCTCAAACAAATTTTGCCGCCGGAGGGGACAAGCAAGCCGCCTCCTCCCCTACGTAAGTCCACCCAGCCGGCCCCACTGGTCCTAAAGGTGGGCACTGCGGGGAAGACGTGGGCAGGCGCAGGCAACGGGCTGCGGGTCTGGGCGCTGCCCACCTGCTCAGATCCCGGAGGCGGGGGCACCAGGGGCTCATCTCACCTGCTACGTCTGCAGCCCCGGGGCCACGCAGTGAAGGGAGTCGGTGCTTGCAGTGGGCCAAACGGAGGAAATCACCGTCATCTCCCACCAACAGCCTCCTAACAGAGAGCTGCCAGCTGTCGGCTGAAGCAGCTCAGTCACGTTCCACGAAAGTGAGGTGCAGGGAAGTTGTGGCCCGGTCGGCTCCACCCGGCGCCCGCCTTGCGGCTCCGCCCGCCTCCAGGCCCCGCCCCCAGGCCCCGCCCTTCGCCTGGAGCAGCCCGGCCGCACCGTCGCCAGGCCCACCCTCCCGCTCAGCCGCGAGCCACGCAGGGTCCGCCCCAGCGCGCCGCCCAGTCGCTAGACTCGGGCGGCGGGACTTCCGGCCACCCGGCTCCCCCAAAATGGCGGTTGTAGTCGGTATTTGTAGTCTCATTTTCCTGTAGTTTTTTCCCCAACCCAGCTTCGTGTGACCCACCAGTTTCTCTTTTAGTTAAGCTAGTCAAGTTTATAGCACATAATTTAAACGCAAGGACTTAAGAGACAGACCTGGATCAGAATCCCGCCTTCCATTTTCCCAAGGCAGTTGACCTTGACTTTACTAAATCAGAGATGAAAATGTCTGTGAAGCTTTAGCCCTGCGTTTTATTTAGAATAAGCTCCCAGTACCTGACTGCTTGTGTTTCTAGTACGGAGTAAACTATATAGTCTTGGTCTACCAAGAGGAAATTGGTTGTATTATTGGAAAACTTCCGGAGCTTCTTGAAATAAAGGGGTCCCAAATACAGTAGTAGGTCCTCCAATAACGCCTTTTCTTCCAGTGTTCTTATAACGTTGATGAGATGCCAAGAATTTAACTCTTGTTTATATTAATTAGTCTATGGTAAATTTGGTTTCCTTGTATGTCGTTTCCCTTTCGTTCCAAGAACCTAACCATGTCAAGTGAGGACTTACTGTGTAGACTTCGTTTTGAAACCAGAAGAAGTCCTGTATTTAAATCAGTCTTTTGGACTTAAAACTATTTCAAACTTAAAAATATTTATAAGCTGACCTCACTTAATATCCTATAAGCATCTCTCCTTTGTAAAGCCTCTAGTTTGCTTTGCATCTTTAACTATTTTCTCTTGCAACTTCAGTGTCTTTCAGTCATCTTGGTAGTTTTAATGTAAAGATACAAGAATATAACTTGATAAATCACAGTAAACTAAGGACTGATGAAAGGATCTGAAAACTAAGCAGGAGAAAAATGGCCAGGAACTGAAATTATGGAAAAGTCATGTATTCTGCTCCTGTTCTCACTTCCCCTTTGTTCTCAATTGTTAAAAAGAAAACCACAGCCCAAAATGGGGTCATTTATGCTAGGCCACATCACCAAATTTGGACTAATTTAACATAATTGCAGTTTCAGTTTGTAATTTTTGTTTGATTTTGAATGTAATGAGTAATTATAGACTATGTTGTGAGGCAAAAGTAGGTTTACTGTTCTATGGAAAAGTAATACAATAATAAATAATAATATAAGAATAAACTGTAGGGGGTGGGCTGGGATGGGAGTAAAGACAGAAAACTATACTTGAACAACAATTAAAATTTTTTCAAAAAAAAAGAATAAACTGTGTTTGGCATACTCACAACTGTAAATCTACTTTTGCTCCACCTGTATTCAGATAATATGAAAAGCAATGAAGAAAGTGAAAATGAACACTTACTGATAGTATTTTACTATATATACCATTTTTTGTATGTGTGTATATATATATATATATAGACTAAGAAAAATGGCATTATAAAATAAACCTGAGTTTTTATACACATGACTTTTAGTAACACTTTTCATTCATAATACATAATGAACTTCCATTCATAAATGTAGATCTATATAATAATTTTTAATACCTATCAAGAATTCCCTATTGATGTTTGAGGATAATTTTCCTTGAAAAAGTGGGAACTCTGAACCACTCATAAAATCTAATGAAAGATGAGTAAATAAGAGGAAGATAAAGTAGTACAAGTGGTTAGTGATTTAAAATTTGTTGTTTGACTATGTCTAGTGCTTGTTTTAGCAGTACATATACTTAAGTTAAACAGGTCTAATATGATTTCAAATTTCTTTAAAATTATTTAGTTTCTTTAAACTCCTACCCCCTTCCCAATAGCACCAATTTCTCTTTAGGGATCCATATACCTTAAGAGAAGTTGACTTCACTCTACCTTTAGAGATGATTTACCTAACCTAGGTATCCCATCAGTACAACCCATCCCTTTGGACTCAATGATTGAGTCAGGGTGGGCATTGTTTCTAAGGTAGTTTGATACAATGACTCAGGACTTCAGCTGAAAATGCTAACATTCTCTTTCCTGGTGGACAAGAGGAGGATGGGGGGAGCCATCCTGAGACCATGAGAGGAACCAGTCTTAGAATGCTGCAGAGACCAAGAAAAGCACAGCAAAGAGAAGGAAATAAATGGATCCTTGATGACAGATTGAATTGTAGAATCACACCTCACCTGAAGCTAGTCAGCCTATGGAATTCTCATTTATGTGAGCTGATCAATATTTTTAAAAATTGTTATGAGTTTATTTGGGTCAAACTGACAACAGTTGCTGAGAAGCAAAATCTCAATGGATTGCGAAAATGCTCCAGAGCTTTTTGCAACTTATTTTATACATTAGAATAAAAGGGAGAGACATAAGGAGGGTTACATGAAATCCACTGGTGGTAGATTAAGGGGGTGGGAGAAAGCAAAGCAGGAAGGCAATCTCTGCCACTAGATAAAAAGTAAAATGGAAAGACACATCCTTCATTTACATTGGTGAACATAGGGTGGTTAATAATGAACATTTACATCACATAGAGATGGTATATGAAAACCAGTGAAGGGTTCTGTGCTGTGTCTTGGAAATCTTAGTAAAATCTGGAAAAAGATTACTCTGAAATCTCAAAGGTATGTTATCTTAGATGCAGAAAGACAATAGACAGGTTCACTTAAGGTAAAGACCAAGCTTTGTTAAGAAAGCCACAGGTCCTACCACCATGACTTGCTTTTAGTTAGGAGTTTTTATGTTTTGACTATCCTCTGTGCTTACATTCAGTCTCTGAGTTTGTAAGGCCCACCATGCAGACCCTTCCAGAGCTTGTTAGGTTTAGTATGTGGCCCATTTTTTGGTCCACAGTTCCCCATTTTGGTCATCTTTGGATGCATTGAAGACCAGGTCTCAGTTGGATAATGTGGCCCCATGTTGCTCAAAGACTCATTGCTAGGAAGTGTTTGTGTCAGTGTCTTGCTGAAACAGTGGAGCAACAGGAATGGGCAACACTGTAACCTTGGATGGAAGTCAAGTCTGAATTTTTTCTCAAAAGGGAAAGGCAAGTAAATGAGAAGTGGTCAGGATGTATGGGCTTCATTAAAAACAACACTACTCTGGACTATTTAACCTGCAAGCTATCATGATCTAAATTTTGTTGTCCATCTCACTTTTGTGTATTTTGCATCTAGCCTAACATTTACATATAGTATGAGGGAACAACCATACCCATCTTCAGTTTTCACAATTTGATCATGAGATGGGTTCCCATTTACTGGTGGTATTATTATTATTATTTTTTAATATGGCCTACCTACTTTCCATTAAAAGCACTCAATATCATTCATTGTTAATATGATTCCTGTTAGTTGTACAGTTGTGAACTGTAGCTTTAAGGCTTGATTGAGCCAATAAGTTTTTATTGGGTCAGTCAACTCAACAAGTTTGAGTTGAGTTTTCTGTTACTTGAAATCAAATTAATAGCAAAAAGTTTTAGAAGAAAATGCCAACAGTAATTATCTGACTAGTAAAAATACAATTTTTCCTGCATAGAAAAGTTCTCAAAATTTCTACCAAAAAGTATGTATTAATTTTATCACGACAAAGTCTGAAACAAGTCTTAAACTGTATATTTTTGCTTATGTAGGAATGGTAAACAATACCTAATAGTAAGTATTTTTCTAAAATAAATTTAAAAGCCACCATTATGCATTAAACCAGCTATGTATACAAAACTTACCCATAAAATATATAAACAATTTAAGAGCACTGTAACAGTGCCATATATCAACTTGTACTGCCAAGGCCTTGTTTTTGGTAATCTTGGTTTGTGAATGATTGAATAAAACATACCGGTAGTTGTTCACCAGCTGTCCAGGATGTCGACATGTATTTGTGTTCAAGGCAAACTATTTGATAGAAGCAACTGTGGTATACAGCTCTTTTATAGTATCCGATTTCTTATTTTTTCCAGCTTTTCACTTTGTTCTGGTTTATAGCCTTATTTAAATATCAATATTATCCCAAACTGTGACTTCTTTTTGTTATTTTAAATGCTATAATTAACTAATTTAAATTCTGATCTCTCAGGATAAAACTCTGAAAATTATATATTTTTTAAATCCTCACCTGAGGACTTTTTTTTTCCATTGCTTTTAAAGGGAAAAGGAGAGAGAGAAACATTGATGTGAGACAGAAAAATTAATTGATTGCCTTCTCTATGCTCCTGAACCAGGGGTCATGTGCACCAGGACCCAGGGATTGAACCCACAGCCTAGGTATGTATGTGCCTTAACTGAGAATGGAACCTGCAACCTTTTGGTTACAGGACAAGGCTCCAACCAACTGAGCCACACCAGCCAGGGCATGAAAATTATCTTTTAATTTAATACATACAATATATGTATTCCTGCTTGTGTTTTTGTAAATATATACTAGCTTCTCCTCAATCCCCTTTTAATTTGCTATTAAAGTATTTTTATGAAGCTTCCAGGTTGGTGAATGTGTGGAGGTGCTGGGAGAGTGGTGTTTCTGGAGAGGGTATAGAAGCTCTGCGGCCCTCCCCACATACCTTGACCTATGCATCTCTCCCATCTAAATGTCCATCTGTATCTTTTGTCATATATTTTATACTAAACTGGTAAATGTAAAAGTATATGCATATATATATATATGCAATATATATATATATATATATATATATATATATATATATATATATTTTTTTTTTACAAAAGCAATGAGGGAAATTAGAATCTAAACATATCACCTTGTTACTGATCTTTTAACCTCAGGTAAGACTCAGTTGTGATTAAATAGGTAGAGGCCTTTCTCTGAGCCAGCATTTAAGAAGTTCAGCAGAATTGTAGTTAAAATGCCAAAGGTTAAGGATGAAGAGAGAATCTTAAAAGCAGTAAGAGAAAAGCAGTTAGGTATCTACAAGGGAGTTCTCATAAGACTGTCAGCTGATTGGATGCTGAATGGATTACAAAATAAGATCCTTACATATACTATCTACAAGAGACACTTTAAATTAGAAGACACACAGAGACTGAAAGTATAGGGATGGAATAAGCTATTTTATGAAAATGGAGACAAACAAAAAAAAGCTAGGGTAACAAATACTTATACCAGGCAAAATAGACTTTATAACAAAGGCCACATAACAAAAGACAAAGGACCCAGCTATTCCACTTCTGGGTATTTATCTGAAGAAACCCAAAACACTAAACTAAAAGAAATATACATCCATATGTTCATTGCAGCATTATTTACCATAGCCAAGATATGGAAGCAACCTGTGTCCACCAATAGATAAATGGGTAAACAAGAAGAATATAAATATAAAGAGGAAGTAGAGAAAAACTTCAGATTTAATTTTGACATTGGAGTAAGATTTTTAGCTTATTCTATTGGGTTGGCCAAAAAGCTCACTTGTGGGTTTTTTTTCCTGTGAGGTAGCCCTAGTAGTGCTTAGTTGTCTTTAACTTCATTCAGAACAATGTGTTAGATTATATTGTGACAGCTGTCATATCAGCGTGCATTTAAAAAAACATCAAAGTTGGTGATTTTTTTGCATGGCCATATTAATATCAAAGATGGCAGAAAATATGCAACATTTTTGGCATACTATGTTTTTTATTTAAAAAAGGTAAAAACAACTGAAATGCAACAAAAAGATATATGCAGTGAGTGTATGGAGAAGGCACTGTGACTAATCGAACGTGTCAGAAGTGGTTTGTGAAATTTCATGCTTAAGATTTCTTTCTGGACAATGCTCCAGGGTCGGTTAGACCAGTGGATAGCGATCAAATTGAGAGATTAATTGAGAACAATCAAAGTTATACCATGCAGGAGATAGCCAACATACTCAAAATATCCAAATCAATAAAGTGATTGGTGAAAATAAAAAATGTTTCTTTTATTCTACTGAAAAAACTAAATGGACTTTTTGGCTAGCCCAATAGTTAAAATATGGGTGGAACTTTTGAGTAAATAGATAGCTTTAAAAAAGATATCACACCCTCAGCACAAGAATTAACCACAGACCTCAGAAGCGTTCTTTCAGTAGAGTATTTCATGAGTTCCGGTCTCCTTCCCTCCTTGAAGGGGCAGGTACTTTATTGATTTCCATAATATTTTCAGTGCCTGGAGCATGCTCCGCATGTAGTAGGCACCTAATAAATATTTGTTGATCTACTAACTCTCAGAATGCCAGCTAAACAAGTTTGTGAAGTTGCTGTATTTAGAGAGTCACTTAAAATAGAAAAACCTATCCATGTTTTTTGTATTTTTTCCTCTACCCATTCAGTCCCCTTATAACCACCTCCCGTAATCACCACACTGTTGTCCATGAGTCCTTTTTCCTTCTACCCTCTCTTGTTCTGCTTCTTGAAGTATCAACACAAGTAACTGATCAAGAAATATCAGAATGCTAGTCTCTATATGGCAGCAGAGGAATCAGATTGCTTTTTTGTGACTGACAATGGCTGAAACAGAGTAAGTCATGGGGGAGTCGTCACTGGTTGTGACACAGACTAAATATGGTAATAAATAGTGTCCCAATAATTAATTCTATAAATGTTAAAATGCTCCTAAAATTCCAAAAGTTATTTAGACTTTCCTGTTACCCTAATTTGCACATAAGCTTTCCCTGAACTATTCCCAAAAAAATGAAACAGGAAAAGAAACAAGACTGCTGAAGTGCAAGAGCATTTGTCAGTCCAATCCAGAAAGAGGCATGGACACTGGGTTTTTGACATGGTTGTTCTTGGAGAATATAATTTTTAAAAATATAGATTCCAGGGTCCCGTCAGATTTGCTAAATCAATATCACTGGGTTTGGATCTGAGTTCTATACATTTTCCAGATTCTGCAGATACTTTTAATGCAAATTCCCAGGTAAGAGCTGTTCTAGGAAATAAGCTAGAAAGTATACATCTGTTTCAAGGGCAGAAAAGAGTATTTGCCTTAGAGGACAGCAGAACATTTTTCATTTTTCTAGAGTCTCATGGTCTATGGGAAGAAATGTGTTCTCATGGGAAAAAGGGCACGTGGAGTCGGGCAACTTCCTTCAGAAATCCATTTCAATAGCTGTTTTCCTATCAGTACATTCTTCCTTGTGTGAAACCTATATTTTTTGGCTTGCCCTTTATGGAAAAAAGCAAAACAAAATGGAATCGATCACTGTATTCATTTATTGGGTGTATATACACCGTTGTCTTCACTGGAGTGTCATGTTCAGATCCCAGTCAGAAAGTTCACATTATGGATGAAGCTGGATGAAGTGATTTTCATGATGACTTTTTAAAAAATCTTTTTCTTTATAGTTTGTGCATTTGGTGTCTTTAACAGAATCCTCTCCTGCATCGAGGTCATCAAGGTCATCATGCCCTGGCTGGTGTGGCTCAGTGGATTGAGTGCTGGCCTGTGAACCAAAGGGTCACTGGTTCAATTCTCAAGGAACATGACTGGGTTGCAGGCCAAGTTCCCAGTGGGGGGGCACATGAAAGGCAACCACACACTGATGCTTCCCTCCCAGTCTTTCTCCCTCCCAATCTCTCTCTCTAAGAATAAGTTAATAAAATATACATTTTAAAAAGGTTATGATATTTACCTATATTTTTTCTAAAAAGTTAAATGTCTTTTAAAATTGTTATTCTTTATACCATTTTTCAAATTCTTATGTGTAATTAGAGCCCCATTCTAGACTCAAAGTGTGGAATGTTACTGTCCAACACAGAAAAGAATACTTCTGTAGCTCCTCCTACCAAGTCTAGATACATTTTTGAAAAATCCTCAATGCAGAATACAATAAAATGAGACCGTACAAAGAGGTAAAAATCTATGAAATGTGTTCAAAGAAGATATCAGCTAATGTGTTCAGAGCAGTATCAGCTAATGGAATTATGAATTATCTTGAAGTCAGTGTATATTTCCCCTAGAGATACTGAAGCAATAAGAGTGAGCAAATGCAGGACGTGTGGACACATGGCTGGTAGTCACACTGTGTGTGTGCTTATCGCATGTTTGTCAAATGTCTAGGAGGGTTATACTTATCATGTTTGTCAAATGTCTAGGAGGGATTTGCTTATGTTTGTCAAATGTCTAGCAGGACCTTTAAGATACCCTTGTGTAAAAGTCACCTTGCAGCTCCATGTTAGGTCTAATGAAAAAAAAAAAAAAACCCACCTCAGACAGTCATCTTTTGATAAAATTCCTAGGTGTCCCATTTCTGAACCACTGCTCTGGCCTCCCAAACCCACCTACCTTCTTAGGTTCTTGTCTCAACGATGGAACTGGGCTCCAGCTGCCCTGCTTTATGCATGTCTGTTATTTACTGTCTTCTGCCTGCTGTGAGGGTTGGGTCAGACACCCCACTTTGCCTACATGTGACGGACTTGGCTTACTTGTATACCCTATCTAATCAGGGTTATAGGGCTTCCATGTAGGATCCTTAGTACCATCTCAAGCTGATGAGAAATGAATTCCCAGCCATAGCTTTCCAACTGTTACCTGATAGAGGCAGTTATTTTCCCTTGCAAAGCCAAACCTTAAGAAGATTCTTCATGTACTCAAATAGTCTAATTGACAATCATCCCAGCAAAGGAGGCATTCCTATCTCTATAAAATAATCTATATTCAAAGGTATGACTTCTGTTAAGCTGCCCTAGGCTTCATGAATAGCGCCACCCTTTGTGGAAAGACCTGTATTCCTCTCGCCAGGTAAATCTGATAGTTTGGTGGGCTCAAGGGATGATTCTGGTCCTTACCACTAACAGTTTCAGCTTTCCCTACCATCTACTATAAGAAGGTCATTGCTGTCACTGTAAATTAGTCTTGGATAGGATGGGCCTCTGCATGTGAGACAGAACTGAGAGGGTTGGCTTAGCTGCCTGGGCTTGCCTTTTCCTTCCTCACTACCTTGTTTTTTTCTACAAGTCCACCTTCTTAGTCAAAAGGCACAGCCTAACATTCTTTCATTTCTGCTACTTCCAAATCCCCTCTGCTCTGGATAGCCCCTAAATCTGAGGCCTGGCCACCTTAGATCCCCCCAAACCCTCTCCTCTCTTATAGTAATTGCCTATAGATTCCCATCTGTGCCATGAAACACCCCCATTGGTTAGCATTCTAAATGGAAGCAGGGTTTGTGCCTGAGGAGCTCTCAGGCTACGTGTAGATCTTATCTGTCATCAAAGTCTCTGCAAGGAGCCTAGTTATCTTTAAGAACTGTAACCCGGAGTTCTCTTTCATTTTTTTTTACAGTCCCAGGTGAGCT